TGGAGGCTTTGCAATTAATCAGAAAAACTTGCCTTAGAATGTTATAAGTTATTTTGGTTTTGTTTTCCTCAGTGGTGTTTTGTTTAGTGCTAGAAGGTCATTACCTTCAGCTTGTAACAGATGCATGCATTTCTTTAGCTTCTGTGAGGAGAGGACTCCTCATAGAACCATTGTATGAAAGAAAGGAGTACTTGATTGCTTCTTAAGAGATGTATTCAGTTTGCTTGTGTTGCCTGAAAGAAACATATGTACAAATACTTCACGTATTCCAACAATATGCTTTTACTTCCACAGCTTTTTTTACTAGACAATACCATATAGAGAGAATATTTAACTTTTTGGGAACTTGCCGAAAATGTGGAAAAATGACAGTGCTAGCCATTTGCATTGTTCTTTCTCACATTAAAAAATGGGCTATCTATTAAAATAAACATTGCGGAACTTTTATATTTTTAATAATTCTTTTAAAGCTTTTCCTGAATTTAATTTGGTATTGAAGCATTATTTTGTCCAAGAAATAAAGCAAATGGAGGTGCTTCTAATTATAAATGAATATACAGCCAATGAATATAAGCCTTAGGTCATTTCATTAGGGGTCAAGAAGGTAGGAGAGTCACACCTTTTAGTGTGCAATTAACATTGTGCTTCCATATTATTAAGGATCTGGTATAATTTCCAAAGAGCAATGCAATCAGTCTGTCCTTGCAAAAAGGCACTGAATTATCTGTGAACAATTACTTGAAAAGAAACATCATATCTTTTATTTTACTCAAAGTGATGACTTTTATGAATTTTATACAATATGCTTTGAAAATAGGTTTGAAGAACCTGGGTTCAAATTTGCATACATTTGCAAATATTGAAATCTGCATCCCTAAACGAACAGGCAGATTGTTATAATAAAAATGATGCAAATGTTGTCATCACTATCAGAACTGAGGTACAGATTTACCATGGAATAAACATTGTAATGGTTCATGTGCAGTAAAAAAAACTTTTTGGATTTACAGAACTAAATGCAGTACAAATTAAATGGAGTTTTTATTAAGAAATCTGTCTTGAATTACTCAGCTATTGTCCAAAAATGTATTAATTCCTTTTGTTCAGATTGGTAAAATAATGAAAATTGGAAAAAGTTAGGCTTTCTGTTGTCTCTGCAGGTATAAAACAACAAAGGAACTTAATTTCAGCATACCTGTGAGACGGCAGCACCTTTTAAAATCTGGAAGTTTTTAAGGATTTGCGGGAGTGGAGTTTTTACTGATTCTTAACATTTTTCTTAAATAGTTGTTGTATAATGTAAATAAACTGTGCCGATGTACAGTGAAAAATATTTATGTGCATTCTTAAGTGTAAACACATATTTAGAATCCTGAAAACTTAAAAAGATCATCTCCAAAGTCCCATTTTGCTCATGTTCATGCACGTTTTTATCTCTGCACAGTCTCCCTGAATTGCTGAGTCTCCTGATATGAGTATAGTAACTCATTTACAAGATTGTCACATGTATAGATATGGTGCAAGCATATTTTGGATATCACCAAAGTGTACTGATGATGTTTATGTTCAGTGTACCAGTAACACTATGTAAAGGAGAAATCTGCTGTTCCCATTTTGATGCTGTGTGTTATAAATCACATCTGGGTAGTCTGAAGAAACTACACCTTATTATTGTAGAAAAGCATTTGTTACATGTGGTTATAATGTTGTAGCTATCTTAACTTATAGGGGATTCTTCTTTCAGGGGTAGTTATTCAGTTTTCTTGGATGTTTCTTTTCTCTCCTATAAAACAAATCCAGTGGCCTCTTCTTAAAATAATCACAGTTAATAATTTCTGCATTGCCTATGCAGAAATTTGCTTGCTTAGTCCAACATAAGATTTATTTTGTTGCTAGCTCAAATGGCTTACAAAATTGATAGTTAAGGTGTTTCTAAGACAACAAGGAGATTTAAGCATACAGTTTCCATGGTAGGCAATATAGAAAAACTCAGCCCCTTATTATTTATGCTGTAATGTCTATCTGCTGTCTGACTGGACTGACTTTCATGATGTTCTTCAAACAGAATCTGTCATTGTTGCAGGTGTACCTAAAGGCTGCTAGAGTTGCATACTCTCATAAATGAAAACTGGAACTAAGAAAAAATGCGGGGGGGGGGGGAGGGCAGGGCAGGAGAAGATTCCAGACGTTTTGGAACACAGAACACAATGTTAAATACCCAATCCTTAGGAACATATAGAACCTCAGTCCTCAGTTTGGTCCTATTGTCAACAACAACAAGTAGGCTCTCTTATTCTAGAAACTAACTTTGTTTAACTAAGTCAATTCTTTTTTTAAGTTGGGAGTGTAGGTGTTTTTCAACACTGATACCTCCCACATTGGTACTATAGTAAAATAGCTTGTTTATTTTTTAACCTTTCCAAAATCCATAGATAGCTCTGTCCTGGAAGCCAAGTTGTATTTTAACCTCATGCTTATATCATCTTTGCCTTTGTTACTTTCACTTGATTGGTGGCCTTGCTACATGGCTTTGTAAAGCAATAGTGTACTCAAATCTTTTTCCATTTGTTTGCTACTCCAATGCTGTACACCTTTTGTTTGCATTAGACTTCAGTATCTGGTCAGTATAAAGGCAGTATTTAATATTGTATTAATATGGAGAACAAGTCCTACAAGGAGCGACTGAGGGAGCTGGGCTTGTTCAGCCTGGAGAAAAGGAGGCTCAGGTGCGACCTTATCGCTCTCTACAGGTACCTCAAAGGAGGCTGTAGCGAGGTGGGGGTTGGTCTGTTCTCCCACGTGCCTGGTGACAGGACGCGGGGGAATGGGCTTAAGTTGCGCCAGGGGAGTTTTAGGTTAGATGTTAGGAAGACCTTCTTTACCGAAAGGGTTGTTAGACATTGGAACAGGCTGCCCAGGGAGGTGGTGGAGTCACCATCCCTGGAAGTCTTTAAAAGACATTTAGATGTGGAGCTTAGGGATATGGTTTAGTGGGGACTGTTAGCGTTAGGTCAGAGGTTGGACTCAATGATCTTGAGGTCTCTTCCAACCTAGAAATTCTGTGATTTGTAGTGGCTTTCAAAACTGGTGGTTTCTGAGTTTTCCCATCTGGCACTTTGATTTATTTTATCACTTTTTTATGGCTTTTAACTTTGGGGCAAGATGTATTTACGTGTCTAGTCTTTGTAGCTGTGTAATCTTCAAATGCGAAGATTCCTTTCATAGTGTTCCAAAATGGTCTGTTCTGTTTATTTATTTCTGTATTTTCTATCCATAATGCACTGTGATATTGGAAGAATACTTTCTAAATCATCACTATACTAACCACTTAGTGTTTTTGAAGTATCATATCAACATTAAAAACCACTTCTCGTAACATTCCAATCCATAACTAAAATCGTATTTCCATCCAGAGGAACATGCAGCAGGCTGATCTTTTAGATTGCATGCTGAAAGTAGAATAAAAGATTGTTCCTAGCCTTGGTTTTGGTCCAAAAACATGGAGTAAAAGGGCTTGGAAGGTTGAGTACTTAGTAATTAAAGTATTAGTAAACAACATGCCTAGATTTCTAACAAAAATGAAAATAAGTGTGTACACACACAAACACCTTTAAAATAACTTTCTTTATACGAAACGCCTCTATAGATCTTCAGTTTCTTGTTTTCATCTTCTCCATCTTTTTCATATAACATATGAAGGTTTTTTTTGTAATTATAGCTGTAACCCTCCCATTCCAAAACCCCACAACTGCATTTTAGGCATCTTTAGCAGATTAGTTCCCTGTTGAAACCAGAAACATGTTGTTGTTGTCTAAAACACCGAATTTTGCTTTTCAGAAAGAGAATGTGTATTTTTACTGTTGCTGTTTTTATTTTAGTAGCATTAAGATCTCAAAATTTATTCTAAAAACTGTTAAATCCTTTTATTTTCTTTGAACTATACAACACATTCTTCCATTTCATTCTGAATGTCGTATGCGTGCTAGTACATTCAAAGGAATGAGATATTCATTGGATACTTAAAGTACAAAATAACAGTGATCCATAGTAAATAGTGATCAGTTTCTTTTTCTTGAAGTCCATGATTGCAAAGAAACAAAGTCTTAAGTACTCTTTGCATGGAGAGATGGCATGAAGCCTATGCCTTTCTTAAATCCCACAGAAGCTTTAAAGTTAGATGTTGTATAGCCTTGGTGTCCATCTGCTTGCAGATGAATTTTGTTTTATATTATCTAAGACTTCAAGGATGTTGTTTGTAACTGCATACATAAAAATAATTAGAAAACACACTGGGCTAGATTCAGAAGTTGCTTTTGGGGGAAGAAAAGAAAAACTGACACATTAGAATGACTTTAAAGCAGACTTCAGATTTGACTCGGTCTGCATCATTACCGTTTTTTATAAGGGCTAAACATTCGCCTTTTTTAGTGTTTAAAATGTGTTTTTTCCTTCCCTTGAAAATCTCCTTCTTTTACTTTATTTATTTATATATTTATTATTCGTGTTACATGGGCTTGCTACCTCTCAAGTGGATTGTATCCATGATCAGCCTCTGTGTATTTCCCTTCCTATGTCACCGTAATCAGTTCAAGCAGAGGTTTGAGTTTTACTCTGTTCTGTGAGAGACTTACAGCATTCTTGGGGTCAGCTAAGACATGCCAGCTAATCCTGGCCCAACCTCAATTTCTCATTCTAAATTGGACAAAGCCAAGGTACCAAATTATTCAATCTTCCTCAGCTGAAATCCCTATGAGGCCAACTAAGCCTTGAAAAACTGTGTGAGGTTGTTGCACTTTGCTGTTAAGTTGCATTTGTTGTGGAAAGGTGTTTGGCTAATTAGCAAAAAGAAATCCAAAAGAAAAAGTGCAGTTGTATATTTACCCAAACCTTGATGCAGGCTCTGTGTTCCTCGTATTCTGTTGTTTCTGCTGAGCCTATGGGCTTGTTTTGTTGCAACTGAATTGTTATTAGTTTTTTTTTTCTCTCTCTTTTTCCTATAGACTGGCAGATAGCTACTCTTGCTTTGCTGTTGGGTGGTGCTGCCATCATTCTCATAGCTTTCCTGGTTGGTCTGATCTCTATCTGTGTGGGATCTCGGAGGCGGTTCTACAGACCAGTTGCAGTCATGCTCTTTGCTGCAGGTAAGGAGTTTACTAGCACCATTATGAAAAGTGCATAAGGGCAGCTTTACTTGCATGAAATAAAATGTTCCTTGTACTGCATACCAATTCAGAAGCATTTGGTTTACCTCTTGACTGTTAAGTCCCGTGAGGTTTTTCAGGATACCAGTTTTACAAGGTATTAATAATTTTTGCAGTTGCACTTTTATAGTTCATAAACAATTTTTTATTCTTCTTATACTTCGGGTTTGGTGAAGTATATGCAGCAGGGAAAACTACAGAAAATAAATCCATTTAAGTACCATTTTTAGTCTGTTACTTTGTGCTGCTTGATGGCCCCATGTTTATTCTTCATGCAAAGCCCTTTCTGATATTTTAATGTTCTTCCTTTTACAATTTAAACTGGGAAAACTAATGCTCAGATGTGAAACCTTGAAGCCCTAAGTGTGAAAATAAATAGGATTATGTTGTGAGGTATTTATAGATGCTCCTGTGCCACTGGAGGAATTAATTTCATTGTGTCAGCTTGCTCACTTACTTATTAATTTAACAAGCTGTCACACTGTAGTCCCCGTTTGGTTTTAAAAACATCAGGATGGAACAGTTTACATAGACAATCACAAAATCTTAAGGGAGATGTATGCATCGGAATTGTCCCTAAAACTGGTCCAGTGTGGTATAATTACAGTCTCAAATCATTTCCTTTCATACATTCTGGTATTTTGGGCCTTAGTCAGCATGGATGTTTCTATTTCTCCTGAGATTCACCAAGAAAAGTTTGTCTTCATCCTGTCACTCATATCTGCATTGGAGCTAGCAGCTTAAGCCCCTTCTGATAGCCTTTAATGAAGAGAGTGACAGAATGTAGTCTTCAGGATGTATTAAAAAAAGCCACGTACAAGTATACGAAAAGACAAACTCAGCACATGAAGGGCTGAGATTCAGAAATCAAAGAAAGCTCTGGGGAAGGCTACTGCTGCCCCCTGCTGTTTATGTTACTTTGACTGAACCACAGTATTTCAAGATGCGCTTTTATTTGCTCAAGAAATATAAGTAGGTTATATTTTATTCACTTTGAGAAGGTGAGTGCAAGGAAGGATCAGATTTTATGAACAGAAATTGAATCTTTTTGTTTCATGTGTTGTATTGCCGAGTTGACTGAATAAATAAAGGCACTTGTGCCATTACTTTAAATATCAGTACTAATTCTGAGATTATAAATCATATTGGGCAGTTAACTCTGAAGTGATAAGGATTGCTGAGTTTATGTAGTTATTTCTTATTTGGCTTTTGATTTAAGTGATCATAACATTGTTTGGTGAATTAGGCGGCGTATATATGAGCAATTACTATCTTGCCATATTGCTTAGTCAGTATACAGTTTGTATTTAAATTAAAAAAAAAAATCCAAATATTACTGTTTTGTTTAAAGCTTAATCTGTTCTCCTTTGAATAAAATTAGTTCTACTATTTATTACAAAATTTAGAGGGGAGGGGAAGGTGGCAGTTTAGAACAGTAGAATATTCCTGGATGGAAGGTGCCCACAAGGATTGTTGAGTCCAACTCCTAGCTCCACACAGAACCACCCAAAAAACCAGACCCTATGTCTGAGACCATTGTCCAACCACTTCCTGAATCCCAGATGCAGATTCATGCCATTCTTTTGTGTCCTGTTGCTGTCACCAGAGAGGAGATCAGGTTTAATGCTTGCTTGAATCAGAAAGGAAAATGTATTAATCCTGTAGCTCATGAGTGGTGTCCATCTCTTTCCTTTGCTGTGTGTATGTATGCACACACTTGCATGTATTTTAAATAGGCCTGGCCTGAAGCCTGTAAAAGGAAAAGAGATGATGAGGCAAAGGCAGCCTGCCTCATTTGCGCCAGGGGAGTTTTTTGCACCAGGGGAGTTTTAGGTTGGATCTTAGGAAGATCTTCTTTACCGAAAGGGTTGTTAGACATTGGAACAGGCTGCCCAGGGAGGTGGTGGAGTCACCATCCCTGGAAATCTTTAAAAGACGTTTAGATGTAGAGCTTAGGGATATGGTTTAGTGGGGACTGTTAGTGTTAGGTCAGAGGTTGGACTCTATGATCTTGAGGTCTCTTCCAACCTAGAAATTCTGTGATTCTGTGATTCTTCTTCATTATCTGGCAAGTCTGAGGCAAATTGTTTCAGGATTTGATGCTGACAATGTTGCCTTCATTTCCTATGGATTTTCTTTGCTTTCAGCTACTTTTTGAGATGAGTATGGACTTGCATATCTTGAGAGAATCACTTGAAGAATCCATCAGTGAAGAGGGAAAAGTTAAGGTTACAGCACAGTAAAGTTATGCAACCTGTGGATTTCACAGAACATCCACGAGGCTAGAAAACCCCTGTCCCATGAATCTTCTGACATCACAAAATATTTTGCCTGACTGATTATGAACACATCCCTCTGCTGCCTTGTGGTAGAAGGACACAGCATGAGTTGCCTAGATATATTAATGGTCTATGTGGGTGTCAGGTAGAAAACGTCACAGTGTGGGAAAGAGAACCAAATGGAAAAGTGACCTCCAGGCACTTCAGAGTCTGAGCAGTTGGTTCCAGTCATTTCTCTTTCTTCTCGTTTTGATTTTTTTTTTCCCCCTCAGATTTAGTGATTTTGTAGGTGAGGAAGATGAATGAGTTACTGAGGCTGAAAGAGGTGATAAACGGACAAAAAAAAAATCTACCTGGATACTGAGAATAAGCCATTGAATGATCAACAGAAGTGTGTGTTCAAAATACGTACTATCAGCTCTGTGTAATGGGAGAGGAGCAAGAATATCTCAGGTGATGGAAAAACGTACAGCATACAGAAAGGCAGAGTTGCAGGACACTTGTGTGGAGCTATCTTGGGTCCACTGGGGTTTATAAATATCTCACTGCTAGCCATCATGGTGGCTTGTTAATTTGTTGACTTGTGTCAGTGTGCTGTATGAAGGGATACAAAAAATCAGTCTTAATTGAGCTTGGTAGACTTGGTGTCCTCGTACAGCTCTTCCCAGCATTTTTTGTCAAGTAGGGGTCAGTAGCATACATACTTGCTGGAATATTTAAATGCTTTTGATTCAAACCAGCTCTGAAAGCTGCATCCTCAAAGTGCCATGTCTAAGGTCATAAACTCATCAGCGTGAGGAGTCTCACAATATGGTTACCAGATAACTGACTGCTAACCAGGTAAAATTTTAGGAGTAGAAAGTAGAATTGTTGATTGCCTGAACAAAACAAAACCAAAAAAAAGTCATTTAAAATGTGTTTGCTTTCACAGGCTCTGTTTTAACAGTGCCTTCTGAGGAGCTTGTGCTCTCACTGTCTTAAGAATTTCCTTCCTTTTCAGCACATGAAGACACAAATTTGACTGACTGTGAAGTAATGAGACTTCATATGGGTGACTTGTGTCAAAACAATTTTATTACCTTTTATGATTAGGTCTTAGAAGAACCTGTGAGGTCAGTAAGCTTTTAACACATTTTACATGATGTTCACATGATGTAAGCTAGGGAAATGGTGGTGAAGTGAAAATATGGGTGAGGGAGTAAAAGAATGACAAGCAGATAATATGTAGAGAATATGTATGTATCTTTACATTTTGATAGGGAGTCAGAGCACAGTTCTGCTGGATTAACTCCTGAGTTCTGTGCTATTATTTATAATGCTGTGAAACAGAATAAAAGAATACTTACCAAACTTGCAGTTAAATGAAGGTAGGAAAAAATACAGATGTGTTGGAAGACAAAATTCAATTTTGAGGAATTGTAAGAATGGTCTGAAAAAGTAGGACAAACTTTCGTAGGAGGAAGTGCACATAGCTACAAGAAATAAAAAAAAAAATAAAAAAATCAGATGAGCACAAAACAGCATCAAAGAAATCAGTTGACAGGATACTGTAGGTCATCTAGCATCTAGTCCAAACTCCTTGTTGAGGTTGTTGAGGGGCAGGATGGTCATTAACTTTAGGTCTGTCAGCTGTGGTTTTATCTTGACTAGTCTGAAAGATCTCAAAGGATAAGCTTGTACAACCCATTCAAGTACATTGTCCTGTTGCTGTAGTGGCCTCCTTAAATTTTTTTTCCATGTGTCCATTCTGAATCGGTGAAACTGAAATTTCTGTCTCTTGACAACATCTTAAGTTTCCTGCCATTACAAAGAGTTTTGTTTCAGTATCTTTGTAGCTGCATTTTCAGGTAGATGTAGGCTGCATTGAAATTGCTCCTTAGCCTCCTCTTCATGTATCTAAATAAAGCTACCATCCTCTTCTTCCTCTTGAGGACAATTTGCTGTAGGCTTCAATCATTTTGGCACCTTTCTGTACCCTTGCCTGGTGAATCCCTGCTGACTGCTGAATGCCACCTTGTTCTGCACATGCTTGGAGGTGCACTCCAAGAATCACAGAATGGTCAAGGTTGGCATGGACTTCTGAAGATCACCTAGTCCAACTCCCCTGCCAAGCAGGATCACCTAGAGCACATTGTACAGGATGGCATCCAGGCAGATTTTAAATATCTCCAGAGAAGGAGACTCCACAACCTCTATGGGCAACCTCTTCCAGTGCTCTGTCACCTTCACAGTAAAGAAATGCCCTGTCATTTTCATCTGCAACTTCCTGTGCTTCAGTTTGTGTGCGTTGCTTCTCATCCTGTTGCTGGGCACTACTGAAAAGAGACTGGCTCCATGCTTTCAACACCCTCCCTTCAGATATTTATACACATTGATGAGGTCTCCCTTAAGTCTTCTCTTTTCCAGGCTAAACAGGCCCAGTTCTTTCAGCCTGTCCTCGTATAACAGGTGCTCCAGTCCTCTCATCATCTTCATAGTCCTTCTATGGACTCACTCTAGTAATTCTATGTCTCTCTTGTACTGAGGAGCGAGCCCAGATCTGGACACAGTAGTCCAGGTGTGGCCTCACCAGGGCTGAGTAGAGGGGGAGGATCACCTCTCTTGACCTACTAACAACACTCTTCTAAATGCACCCCAGGATACTGCTGGCCTTGTTGGCCACAAGGGCACATTGCTGACTCGTGGTCAGCCAGTGTCCACCAGAATTCCCAGGTCCCTCTCTGCAGAGCTGCTCTCCAGCAGGTCACCCCCCAGCATGTACTAGTGCTTGGGGTTATTCCTCCCTAGGTGCAGGAGCCTGCAATTGCCTTTGTTGAACTAGATGTACTAGAAGATGTACTTCATAAAGTTTCAAGGGATTGAGGTGATGCTGATAGACATTGATGCAACTTTGTCGTCTCTAACTTGTTTCTGCATTTCTGACTGCCCTACTCCTTCCCAAAGGCTCCAAGACCCCTGGAGATCTTGGAGAAGCATTCATTTTGCATCATCTCCCATTAGACTTGCTTTTCTGCCCATCATTGGACCAGTACGTATTCTGAACTTCATTTTGCAACTAATGCACCTGTGGAAATTTATTACACTTTTTTTTGCCATTTCTTAGCTTGATGTTTGGCTTCAGCTGGGCTTCAGCCTTCCTGATTTTGTATGTAAGTACCAAAATAGTATTTTTATATTTCCCTCTCATTGTCTATCCTTGTTTCCTGTTTGTTTGCTCATTTCTTACACGTTTGTTGGAAAAATTCCCTGCTTGGCCAGCTGGGCCTCCTGCTGAAATTCCTGGTCTTCGTCTGTAGTAGGGTGGCATATTCTAAGCTAGCAATATTTTAAAAGTTAGCATGGATCACCCCCCTCCTCTTCATGCTCCTTCCCAATTTCTTGCACAGGTTTTATTAAGCACAAAAAGTTCCTAGACTGTTGTTGTATGTCAGTCTTTAAAACTGCAACGCCTATTGGTTACTAATAAAGTGTATGTGAATGAACAAGAGAAATGGTACAGAGAACTAGTCAGCACCACCATTTTTGTAAGAGACACCAATCAAAATGCCCAATTTTAAGGATTTTTTTTTAAACAGCAAATCTATTATAGTTAAAAATTTTAATGAAGGAAAAAGATGACTGAAATTCAGTTTTTCTAGTTTTAAAGGTTTTGTTGTGATTTTTGCATGTTTAATGTGGTGAGTACTTACACTTCATGTAAATGAAGTAAAAGTATTCCTGTTCCTGTGTACTTGTCCTGTACTGTGTACTAGCCATAAAAATGTGTCTAAACTTAAAATGAATAGTCTAGTTTGAGCTGACTATTTTTTTTTTGAATAGAGATTTTAGGTGGATTTATTATTTATTTATTTTGCAGCCTTTTTCTACAGGGAAGAACTAGTATTTCTGAAAAAGTGTAGTACATACACTTCCTATGAGCAGGTCTCTTTAAATTTATTGGACGCGGATCAGTGCTTGCAGTCATTGGTTTCAACATCTTTTTGGGTCATACTGGTCATTTTTTGTAACTTCACTAACGTGTTTCTAGCCTATATTGGTCCCTTTCCATTTTACAGGGAGCAACAATGATGGGAGATGTAAATAGTGCAAAGTGACAGCATTGTTATGTAGTGTGGTTGTTTCTGCTGGCCTGCTGATATCAGCACTTCCTTTGAAATTTTCAATAGTGTAGCTGAACCAGTAGTAGCAAATTCAGGATGCCTCACTATAAAAATGTCAAAAGTATGTGTTGTAGGCGTTGCTCTGTTAGCCACATGTTCCAGTAGAATCACTTTTTACAAATCCAATCCATAGATTAAAATTCAGTATTAGATTGAGCAAAGGTAGGGAGCTTCCTTGGGTGCAACTTGATAGACACATGCACACCAATGGCTATTTCTGTATTGACCCAGTAGAGGTTCTGCAGCTCCAGTTCAGGAAGCCACTGAAGAACTTGCTTACACCTATTCATCTGAGGAAATTCTTTTGGACTTTGAATGGTCTTAAAGATGTGACTGAAAATTGAGCATATGTTCAGGTGTTTTGGGGTATAACCATGTTCTCATTATACAGAATTAGAGTGCATAATCTTTTCATAAGACTAGAAGCTTTCCCTGGTGTACCACGTCAAAATTTCTCCAGTGTTGTGCAGTGTTTTGTGAGCTGGCAGACAAAAAATATTAAAAAGAAATGACATAAAGTAACACTTCAGTAACTTCAGAAATAAAAAAAATAAAATAAAATAAAATAAAAAATCCTGTGGATTTTAGTACCCACAGCAGAAAATCCATTATCCAAACATTACTTTGATTGTCAGTCCCAAGAAAGAGTCCAAGATGCTAACTGGATGTGAGAGGTGGGAGGGGGCATGAACTTCCAGCGGATGTTTTGCTGTGATATCAGAGGGTATATGATGAGCATTGGAAATCCTCTCCCCATCCCAGTCCCCATCCAAAGGACAAGAAAGCGTTGGTCTCTAAGCACCTAATGAAAGATGACATTTGACAGCACTGAAGAGGGCATGTGGGAATGAAAAGGCGAATGATAGGTTTTGGGTGTGCAAAAAGTGTTTGACCAGCAGGAAAATATAATTAATATTATTTTAGTTTCACTGTAATTTCAAAAAAGCTTCTGTAGCCAAAAGTAGTCATACTTCTTATTTTCCACTGGCATTTTATTTTGACTTTTGGCTTTATAACAATTCACAATTTTTATATAAAGTAGTGTTTGTTCTTTTAACAATGCCTGGCAAAGTCTTAAAAAAAATAAAAAAAAATGAAGCAGTCAATGTTAAAGTAGTTATGGCATTATAACTAGTTATACCATTGAACTTTGATCAGAGTATGTCTCAGGTCTGCAAATTCTTAAGAATGTGCTCAACTTTGTGGATGTGCTCACCGTCTGTAATTAGAAGGCTCGTAGCTTATAGGGGAAGTCATGGACTAAAGTCTTTAAAACCTGAATGTTCTAAATGCCAGAAGGGAGATTCATTTGAGGGATAAAAAGGTTGTTTTGTATGGTCCTATGATGTATAATTCCCATGATATTTGTTTGTAGATGGCAGAACTGGAAACCTAAAGAATCACCAAATCATCTTTATTGTTCTTGTCTTCAAATTAAGTGCAACTTTCACCTGCTTACCCTGGAAGCTATTGTCCCAATTATACTGTTAGCAGTATGCCTGATTACAAAAGAGAATAGACGCTGATCAGACTGAATTGTTTATGTGAAAACTGGGGTTTTTCATCTTGCACCTTCCTTTTCAGGTTACTGTATGTATTGTTTTGGTGTATCACAAAGGATGAATGATTTGATGAATTCCTCTGCAGAACTGTGGATCAGATGGTGGGAAATTGGGCACTCTTAGGGGGGACAGTACTGTAGAAAGTGATGGTTTTTAAGCTCTTTCCTGCCTTGGATTTGATGTGTGTTATTAGTGTTTTTTTTTGTTTGTTTGTTTTGTTTTTTGTTTTTTGTTTTTTCAAAATTAAGCATCTCTGACCCACCCACTAAATTCATAATGTGAGGAAATATTTTGCTGTTGAAAAGGTTAGCGATTGATCAAACTTCATGGATTCCTACTTATTCTGTGCAATATCATTAATTCAGATTACAGTATACAGTAATGCATCAAAAATATGTAATTCATTGAGTCTCCATGAACATAAATATGGATCACATACTACAATGAATTACTATTAGGATAAGTAAATAATTTGATTCTGAGCTTTATTTCTTAATATTCATTTATTCTTGCTTCTTGTTATTTTGACTTATTTATAATAGGTACGGAACAAATGATCTTAGATTTGTTGTTATGGAAGGAATAATGACTCCAGACTAAAATACAAAGAAGAGAGACAGAAAAGAATTGGAAAAAGATTGCTTTCACTGTTTATTTCTTGGGCATCTGGAGTATTATTTTTATACCATAGCAATATTGTTTTTCGTCATCAAGGGAATATGCAAGAGCTGCTCTGTTTTCTGTGGAAGAAATGAAGGTTTATATATATATCTATTACATATTGTATACAGTATTAATAGCAAAAATTGCACCAAGAGCATTTTGAAATGTGAATTTAAGTTATGTGATGGCTTTATGGAAATGAATTAAGGCTTCTTCTGACATTTGGTTTGTTTCTTTTTCAGTTGTTCTTCAGGTGTGCAGCTTAGTCCTCTACCCAATCAAGTTCATTGAAACAGTCAGCTTGAAAATATACCATGAGTTCAACTGGGGCTATGGCCTGGCTTGGGGTGCAACTATATTTTCATTTGGGGGTGCCATCCTCTATTGCCTGAACCCTAAGAACTATGAAGACTATTACTAGAATCATTTAATGGAAATAAAAATATCAAAAGGATTACCCCATCTTTTCTAACTCACAGTTTTTTTAGAACACTTGTGGAGCACCAGTCTGCTCTGTTGATAAAAAAAATAGCCTTTGCCTTTTGGGTGTGAACACTGTAACCAGCTTTTACAACCATTTAGAAGAACTGCGAACACTAGGATTGCTGATCTTACATAGGCAGATGCTGCAAGCTGCTGATACATAGGCTTTGTTTTTCCTGACAACAAGCAAAGGATCTACGTGACAGCGATCATTGTGAGAAAACTAGTTGGAATGAAAATGCAAGGCCAGCATCTGCTATTGCCTTCAGGGGAGCAGCTGGTATAGTCTCCATTTAGAAGTTTCTCTGTATCATTGAGGATTCAAATGTCTGATAAGCAGGCAATGGCATCTTGTACAATAGGCTGTGTTGGCCCCTTATTACTTGCTCAAAAAAGCTCTTAAGGAATTAGTTGCAAGTAACTGTTGAGGACAGTGAATGTAACTGGTTAATGTCTTGTCTAATATCTGCATTCAACAGTCTTCTTGGCGAATGAAAAAAAAAAAAAAGCAAACACACACACAGGATTTCATGAATTGGTAATTGGGTAATTGCCATCACCATGCCAGCTGTAGCAGATTGTTGAAGGAAGTCCAAACCTGGAGACATGTGCTTCTGACTGTGTGGTTGGAAGTTGTCTCAGCTCTGAGTATTTTGCTGGGAGGGTGGAAATAAGGGGGAGGACAAAAGACCATATACATCCCTAAGGCATCTAAAATGCATGAATAAATTGCAGTTTTCCTAAGTACCCTTTAACTTCTGAACATCAGCGTGAAAAAAAAATGAGTATGGAACAAGTTCAATTCTATTTTTGGAAGGTATTTGTTAGTATAAGTGAGTATACATAATACAAATATAAATACAAAGGGAGAAAGAGAATTAGTCTTTAAATTGTAATAAGAACTGTGATGCAGTGGTTAAAATACTAACTTTGTACACATTTTTGAGGGTCTTGGACTGGTACCCCCAGTCACGGTTGGCATTGCAAAATAAATATAAAATGGTTTGTCTTCTGTGTATGCCCTTGTACAGATTCTGTGTTATGGGAAATGCTTAAAAGTTCACATCAAGTTAAGGTACAAGTGGATGAAATAACTACTTGTTATTCCATATGTAATCTAATACTTATTAAAAACGTTTTATAAGGCTGTTGCAAAGGGGAAAAAAAATTGCCATTTTTAAAAAATCTAGTTAGGTTGCTACTGTTTCTGATCATCAAGAACATAGCTGAGACCCATTCATGTCCATATTAAAACATTAGCACTGCAGGAGCTACTCTCATGTTTTTAAAGGCTGAGTTTATAATGGGCTGGCTGATGATTATGTACACCTAATTACTCCTTGCTTAGTATGTTTCCCACTTAAAACATCTGGATATTGTACCCATTAAATGAAATCCAAGTTAAAATAGGGAGAATTTCTCAGTGTATTTAATCTGCATCACTTTTATTTTTGTTTACGATTTGCTTGTTTGGGTATTTTGAATTAATTATGAACATATTTTTATACAATTCTAATCTTTAGAAATAACTATTTTTTTTAATGGAGAAATTTAAAGTATATTCTATGTGGACCTCTGCAAAAGTGGATACACTGGGGTTGCATGTCCACCTCTGCACAAATGGTTTTGCTGGTTCCACAGAAAAGACTGCTGAATGACTCAATGTTAAGATCACATTTGCAGTGTTAATGATTATGCCGCAGTTCTCAGGGAGCAGAGGCTCTGCATTGACCATGCTACCCTAGGACTGCCTCTAAGAAGCTGTTCTCAAAGTGTTGCTGCTGTACAGAAGTGATTTCTAAAACTCCAGGCCTCCCTGGAGCTAAGCCTTCACTATCACAGAAAAATATTCTGTATCAGCATTCCTTCCTGGACCAGTGGTGATTAATTAGATTAGACAGAGCAAAATGATAGCTTCACTTAAGAGGGATTGTATAGCAATGCCTAAAGAGGTAAAGGATGGAAGGAAGAAATAGGTCCGTTTATTTTGCAGGCACCCAAGAGCATTTGTAACATTTATTTTTTCTGAGACTGACTTAAGACAAATATTCAGTATGTAGTAAATTCTGTATCTTTCTGAACTGCTCTGTAGTTCTGCTTTTATTTAGCAGCATGGAGAACATTGTAGTTTGGCATGGGAATTAGGTTAATGTAGAGAGAAGTTCACTGTGAGAAGATTTCTATACCTTTCTAGGAGAATTGTGTTTTGATAGCAGTATTGCACGGTGTTTTGCCAATGCTGGCAAGAAGGTGCAATACTGTAGTAGTAAATCTACAAAATTATCAAAACATTTTTTTCTTTATGTAGAGTTTGAGTGAAATTAAATGTGAGGCTTAAGGCATATGCAAGTTAATCGCAAGCACTCCTAAAGTCACATGGCTGTTAATACGAATGATGTTCAGGCAAAAAAAAAAAATTACAAATGTGAATGCCTAAAGACAAGGTTCTTCATTCATATTTGGGTCAGAGATCTGATTTCAGCACCTGCTTTTCCTTTTGAACATAATTCAATCTATTAGGATGCACCTTGAGCTTCTCAGGTCCTTTTACTTGGACATCTAGTATTTGGATTTAGGTATCTACATTTATCAGCTTGGAACCTCCCTTTAACTTTATGTTGCTACTTGAGTTCTTTTCCCACCCCCATTCCAATAATGGTAATTATTTTTCAGAACTGAACAAAAAGTAATTACACTTCTGATTTCTTTCTAGACACACAAACACACACACACAAAAAAGGGAAAATTGGTGTCTGAGTGTATGTACAACAAATTAATCATTCTGAACATTATGCTTGTGTCATGCCATCGTTATTTCGGTTGTTTGACTTTGTCTCACTGTCAGGATGATTCTTTCACACAGCAAATCCCTTGTTTATCATTCAAATATATATGAATAAAGATATATATATATATAGCAAACTTGCAAGCAGGGCTAGTTATTTGTATTTTTTAGGCTTAAAGTATACCGTCCGGTGCTGACAAGTACCTAGCACCTCTTCTGGATTTCTTGCACAACTTCATTTAGCTTTTGTAAATTTTAAAAACAAATATAGAGACCTATGTGTTTGAGATATAAATGATATATATGGATTAGCATGTAACTGTATATTATTAAACATGCAATGAACTGACCCGTAAGTGAAATCTAATCTTATGGCTAGCAATGTAATTTATTCAGACTGTATTTTTGTACAGAGCAGTGCACACTAACCTATTGACTCTGTGTCCTCTATAATGCCTAAAACTGTGCCTAGAAATTTAATTTGTCTTTAAATGAAAGAAAAAAAAAAGACAACTAAATGCTTCATGTTGTTGATGGTATTGATTTTTTTTCTGATGTTGTTCTTTATTTATTTTTGAGAGATATATAGTATGTTTATTAAATGAATCCATCAAAATACGGTTCATTTTAAATGGTCATTATTAGCAGGGAAAGTTTTTTTTTTTAATCAAAACTTTTAAGTTTGCAGTTTTAATACCATTTCTGCATTTCACAATTTTTGTAGCTTACATGAAGTTATATGTGAAAAAGTAACAAATAAAAAATTGTTACACTAATCAAACGTGCCTGTTTCGTTCTGAGTGGAGTACTTGCACAGCTGAGACCAGCCTGAATTGGGCAGGCATCACTCTACATAGGCTCATGAATGGCCTTACTAAAGGAGTCTTATCAAACTACTCAGAGAGTGAGGGGGAGAGAGACAGGATCTTTTCCATGTAACCCCTCTATCTTGGCCGTAGAATAATATAGGATAGGTATCCAGGTTTCACATAGCCCATAAATGCAGTTATTGTAACATCAGAAAACCAAATTGTTTTAAATGTGTTAAATAACAAGGTGATATGTTGAATCTTTACTCAGCACCTTGTTCCAGTGGGGAAACTTTTTCCTTATATACAGATTTTTTTTTTCACATTTCCAGTAACAGTAATTCTTTTTTTTTCTGTTTTGATTCTGAATGTTGTTACTTTTCACAATGAGGGGGAAAAAAAAAAAAAGCACAACAGATACTGGTCTTGAGCTACTGCAAAAATGGAAAAGCATGTTTTATATACCAAAGATATGGTACTGTGATATTTCTACCATTCAGAAAGTTAATGTCATCTGTGCATCACTGGATACCTCTCACGTAAGCAGGCAGCAATGTGAAGAAGGGGCAGCCAGTAGAAAACAACGTGAGAACTGGGGGCTGAAGTCTGTGGCTTCAGGGGACTATTGCAATGAGTGAGTACAGGCATGAGGGTGGGGTGCACAAAGTGGAAATGAAGTAATGGAAAAGGAATTCAGAGCAGGGAGGGAGTAGGATGGGTGGTGTGGGGTAGAGGATGGAGATTGTCTGAAGATTTGTTTTCTTTTAAAATGTGAGTACAAAAAGAGAGGATGTTCACAAATAACCAGGGACCTGCAGCTACTGGAGAGTGAGAGAGCAAATTGGAGGGTGGGTGGAAGGTGTATTTCTTAAAATCTGCATTAAAATGTTCATTGTAGTGAGTGTGGTCTTAGGGGACATATTACTCAAAGGTTTGACCAGTGCTTAGAGCACAAACTTTGGGTCATCTGTGTGCCTACATGTTGACAACAGGGTCAGAGGGGCACACTGGCTTACCAAAGCAAGAAATTAAGTATAAGGCGAGAAGAATTTACTCTGTCTTTTCAAGTATGCTTAATGATATGAGCGCTGAGCTGGCATGCCCTTGGTGTATCAAAGATGTTCCAGCACACTTGGCAGTCAATCTGCATCTCACTACATTTGGTATCCACCATAAGCGTAGACCTGTACTGTACCACTGAACCAGATGAAGTGTGGCTGAATGTATGGCATGCTGTGAGCAAGAGAAAATGTGTGGAGGATGGTGTATGAGCCCAGGTTTGTTTATATCAAAGTGAAGCTTAAACATGAGTAAGCAATAGAGCCCTTTTTGGAAACAAATGACTTGACTCTACAAGTGAAGCTGAAAACTCCAGGGTAAAAATTGAGGCAAAAGGAGTCAAAACAACGTGAATCTGCCCAGAGTGTACTGCTATGCTCACAGAACATCTTTTTGATCTATAAATTTAAATAAATCTAAAACTCTTTGGAACATTACAAAATCTTATTTTAAATTGATGTTTTAGGCATTTGTGGGCAAGGAGTTGTAAGTCTTGTATGTTTCTATACCTTTAAGGAGTACTTCCCAAGTGAATGTTTGTGTGTTAGATGTGTAGGTGTGATGGGATTTTGGAGATACAAAAAGATTTTTCTACTGTTTTAGTGACTTCCTGGCACTCTCTTGATGAAAAGAACTGCTATGCAGATTTTCAAAGAGACAGTAGCTTCAAAGAGGACTTTAAATCATTTAAGTATCCCCCAAAAATCTAGTGCTTGTCTGGAATGTGATATGACAAGCATGACATCCTACAAAAAAGCTAAGTTTCATGATCTGTTAATATTTTCACCATTTATTTATTTGCGAGGAGAAACACTGTATGCAGACAGCCAGACGAAAGAGTTTAGATGATTTCAAGGATCTTTTCCACCCTTCCAACCTATATGATTCTATGATGATAGAAACTGATAATTTCTCTAAGGAATATATGAATCTTCAGTGAAAGAAGTATGGATATTCAACTAAATTTTGAATTGTAATAGGAAGTCACAAAAGGTATAATCACTAATACCTGCTACCTGTTATCGTTCATTTTAATTCTCCCACCTTTTTTTCTCAGTCCATTTTCTTTTGCTTTTTCAGTTCTGTAATATTGTCCTATTATTCTATGGAACTGTAAGATTTAGTAGACAAATGAACCAATATGACAGGCCTGCCATTTCAAGAAAATATCTGCATGTACACAGCTAGCCAGCATAGACAGCAGGTCTTTATTGTGGCCAGGAGCTAGCAGCAGGTTGCTGCTGCTGATGCATTTACCTTGGTAGAAGCAGAATATCCTAGGACAGATAAAGGGTGATTTTGTGTTTCAGGAGTGGTATCTGACCTGGGTTGGTTTCTCATCTGCATCACTCTCATGCATGACTGCCTTGCAGCCTGACCCATGAGAGAGAGGGTAAAAAATCTGCACCTTTCACTCAAAGATGCTGAAAAGCAATATGGCTGAAACACTTGAAGTGTGAGTATTGGGACGGACAGAACTGTTTTGTGTATGTGAGCATGGTTACTTTAGCTGTACCATATGTCACACTGAAGAGGCTGTACAACAGTGCAGTAGGGAGAGAAGTTGTCACTTTACATTTTGTGTTCTAGATTGGATCTAATCTTTTTCTGAAAGGAGACTGTCCTTCCCTTGGGTTAACCAGGCACACCTGATATGGATAGCAGTTTGGATTTCAGGATAAAATGAACAGAGAGAGAGGGAGAGAGAGAGAGGGTGTGAACAGGGAGGCTGCCATCCCACTTCAAGGTGGGAGACACCCCAGAGAAGTAAGAGACCTTCCCACCTGCAGAGGAAACAAACCCAGAGCCAAGTTTCAGGGGTGACAAATGTGATAAGACTCCCAAAAGATCTTCTGAGTTACTGTCAACTCTCTGTATAGCAGCTTTAGAGGCTTTTGTCAGCTCAAGCACTTGATAGGTTCCCATGCATGAAAAGTTACTGTGATGCTTTTGTTCTTGTCGGTGTCTTTGGGCACTGCAGAACCATCTAACCATCTCTGTACTGCATTGTGCACCACAGCTAAAACCCTGTCCTGAAGGGTGATGTGGCCCACTGTGAAATGAAACTTACAGGGCACGTTGTGGTTTGGGATGGTCCTCAGTCCTGCCACAGTTCTGTATTAGATGCCAAGAAGTCTTTGTCTCTTGGTGAATATGAAACTCTATAACTGAGATAAATCATAATGATGCAGCAGGGTACAAAAAAATTTCTGCAGTAGCAGACAAGCCTTGGTATATAACAATGATGAATGGATTCATAAATGCCTTCCTAAACAAGAAGAATATTTTCTGAGTGACTCAGAGCTGCTATTGGTCTAAATGGTCACCTTCATCTGCAAGTTTCTGTTCTAAGAGCTATCTCAGGAGACAGAACCAGAGCCATTAACTTAATTCTTTTAATTGAGAACAGGTAATGTTTTTGTATGTCTGTTTTTGTTTGTTTGTTTGTGTTTTGTTTTGTTTTTCCTAAGAGAGTTTTACAATATTAGCATTATTTTAAATACTTAAACGTATTCAGGTTGAAAAGCTTCAACCTTTTTTTTTTTTTTTTTTTATGATGTCTTCTTAGCCACTTTGAAGTTCATAAAATAGAAAAGCAAGGATGAGATGAACATTATACTTAGCTTGGAATAACGGGAAAATCAGCTGATAGCTCAGAAATTCAGATGTCTGAGAAAAAGTGAAATGAATAGTAACTGAGAAATACGCTGCCTCTTTTCTACTCAGACCAACTTTTTTCTATCCATTTCTATTTCTTCCCTTGATGCTACAAGAAAAGAAACATTTATTTCAGGATTTGTCTTGGTTATCATCTTTTGAAGTAAGTATGCCTCCTGTATAACAAAATACTTGTTAAGCTAATATCAAGAATTTCTAATGGTAATGTTTAGAATACCTAATTTCCAAGGCCTAATTGGAAGCAACTTAAAGTATTGCATCAATAACATTTGCTTGAGGGGAAGCCAAAAAGGATTCATGTAAAGAAATAAGAAGTCCTATCTGAAGAAAATTATTTTTACTGTGAACCATTTGAAAAGCTTTGCAGCTGCTGGATTAAAGGAAAAACTACTGAATTTTTCTGAAATTTTAAACACATTTAAACATAAAAGATCACTCAGACTAGTTTAAAGCAACTTGCAAGAGGAACAGGCAAAGCTATTCTGAGAAACTTAAGTGCGAACAGATTGTGCTCCATTTATTTGAAAACAATCTTTACCTGACTGAAGCACAATGCCATTATACCCTCTGCCAAATATCTTGGAATTCTAGCACACTTGTTTTTATGGCTGTTTTTAAGGCTGTAAGAGTTTTACCGCAGCATGGTGGCTAAGGCCTCAGGCTAAAATGCCTGTTCTCTTGGGAGACATAGGTGCAAATCCAGACAACCCTTAGCTCATGCCTTCCTCCTTGCAAAGTGCCCTCAGTTAATTGAGTTTGATGGTTTGATGCTATTTGCGGCTAGAAATTCTGAAGTCTCTTGACAAAAGCTACTCTTCCCCTCTTACTTCTTCATACCCCAAGATTTTGACAGCTCCATGTCTATATCTATGTCGATACAAAAAATGGCTTTGCAGCATAGGTACTGAGGAGTCATGTCAATTTTCTAATAATTTCTCCCTCTCTGTCTGCAATTACACTCAGGCCTTTGTATGTCTGTGGGCCACAGCTTTTCCCATCAGAAAGGTGTTTAATACAGTACTGCTGATACCACAGGACTTCATCCAGCTATTCTCACACTGTCAAAACACCTACAAACTAAGGAATGTCTGATTTTTCCCTTCTTGACTCTTCCAAGATTGGTTTGTATAAAGTATGAATAAGTAAATGTGTAACCAGCTGTCTTGGTAGGGGCTGAACAAACTTCAACCTCTTTAAAAAATATTGAATTTGTCAAGTGGGCAGCACTTTGGTGAGTGTGTGTCTGTAATAAATGGTCTACATCAACACACTGAAAATGATGAAGTACTTTTTTGCACAGGCACAATCTTCTCAGGAAATAACATCTAAAGGTGGTAGGGAAGGATATATAACTTTCATATTCTACACTTATTCTATAGAGCACTAAATGAAATTACAACAAACACATAGATACTTTCAAAGTATAAACTTAGAAAACCAGAATATGTATCAATGAACAGTATAGGGAGGCCATTCTAGAATGCTGTTTGCGTTATTAGCTTTTGCAGAGCTGATAGGAGAAAAAGTAGATGGCCATGCTAGTAACAAATTAGGAACATGGAGAAAAAAAAATATATTAAAAAACAACAACAAAACAAACAAACAAACAAAAAACAACAACTAGCAAGCATGAAAAAATATTATTCATGGGTTACACATCCTTCCCATAAAAACTGTCAAATGGAGAAGAATCTGTTTTCAGTTTTAATTTTAATTGGGAAGTTTTCTTGATCACCAGGAAAAATTTAACACTTATGCTACTTTTCAAAGCTTATTTTCTGAGAGATCTGAATAGATACAGGTTAATTATTTGCTTACAATAAAGCTGTTTACACTTCTGATTCAATTTTGAAGGTCTCTAGCAGCTGAAGCTCATGTGAGTAGTTACACTAATTCTTTTAAAGGTCCAGTTTTTAGTATTCCATCAAAAGTTTACAAAAAAGTCAGATCAGCAGCCTCTACTTCCCTGTGCAGTCATGTATCTGTGGAATTCAAAGCACAGTTCTCTGGAAGCTGCTAATTGCCTGTCAATCATCTGGCATACTAGCAGTTCACACATTTTTGTTATCGACCTAGCAGATTAATAGTATAACCCAAACAAAGGAACAAAGGCTAAACTGTTCAGTTGGGTAGGGTAATGTGTGGTCTTTTCAGGCCAACATTAAAAGAGAAACGGAAAAATTATGTTCTTTGTAAAAGTAAAGGTGCAGTGACCTTAACCCTGGCAAATAGACTGAATGAGTTCAGCACTATTTACCAGCAAAACCTGAAATAGCAAGTGTTTAAAAAATGAAAATTAATAATAATAAACAACACATATTGAAAAATCATTCCAAGCAAAATGGTGTAATATTAATTTTATTTTATTTTTTTCACTTTTAGTAGTCAGCAGCATGGCAAACATAATTCACAAAGTAGTGCTAGATATTGTTGACCATCATACCACAACCTAATGCTGAATGTGTTTTTAGTATCTGTGGGGGTCTATTTTCAGGACAATAAAGGGCTTTTTAAAAAGGAGTGTTTTTTTCCTGGTGTCTTTGGGCCTTGTATTCTAAGATCAAAGTCAACCTGAATAAGGGTAACAAAATTAATACTTTTGTAGTTACTTGTATGTTCATTATAGTTAGTAATTCCTACCCAGGTTAACACTCCAGTGTGCTGACACCAAGCCCACACCAAAGGAAACTGCCTTGAAATTTCCATTCTTTCTGTACTGTGGAGCTTCATCAAGCTCCATAATTAAGATTGCAGTGAGATTTTTCTGTCCAGTAAAACAGCATTGGAGGAAGAGAAAATAATGATTTGTGTATGGATTGATGTTTCAAAGAGCATTTAGGTAACTTTACTGTAATTTACTTGGTATTAATGTATTAATTAGTTACCATCCAGAGAGAAAAAAATATTTCAGGCTAAAAGAGTAAATATACCCACATATAAAATGGGCATCTTGTCTTCCTCAGTTTCCTTAAGCAAGTTTTGTTTCCAAGGGTGTAATGGCATTACATACCTCTCCCTTTACATCTTTCTGGCTTCTTGTTCCTGTTCATGATACCCATGTCTACAACCTTGCCGACTGTAGTACAATATTTTTCCAGAACTGTGTGATAAATTTGAACCACTTATGTGATCCATGACAAAATTAAGTATTTGAGGAGTATCCTTTCTGAGCCTAGGTCATTTTAGCAACAAGGCATCATGGATAAGCAGCAAGCAGGCAGGGGAGAACTTGCACCAGTTTCGTTGTTGCAGCCAATAAATCATGTCGTCACAACCTCTGTCTCTGTATTGCAATCTCTTACAAAAGAGAGCAAATATTCTCTTCATTGCTGCTGCGGCCAGTCCCAAATAACATCTGTTTTTTAGGCCAGATGAATCAGAAGTCCTAGAAAATGTCAAAATACACAAATGAGAGGATCTGAAGCAAGAATGAGCTATTTGAATATAGCATGACCTCCTACCAAGCACAGGAGACTCCCCCAATAATTTCTGCAGAATTGCTTAAATTATGTTTGGGCAGTAACTCCCGTCTTCTCACATTTGCTCCCACTGACTTTGGCTCAACCTTTTAATATCTTAGTGTTTTGTTTGTTTGTTTGTTTTGTGTTTTGTTTTCTTTTGCCAAGGTGTATTCTCATGATCAGCTTAAATCTTCATTTGCTGTCAAAGCATCAGTTCTCTTCAAGCAGTGGTCAAGCATTCAGTCACTTTCTTCTGTGCCCACATTTTACCAATGCCACCGTGCACCTGGGATGTTAAAGCAGCTCTAATCCCGGAGACCACAAAACCCACAAACATCAAATTCCAGCAGTGGGAATTTAGGATGCAGCAAGGCCTGAAGTCAGTGTGAAACCACATTGTCCATGTCTCAAAGGTTTGAGCTTACTCACAGTCAAGCAGAAGTTGGACACAGAAGAGCATCTGGGTAAGGAGCCCAGTGTTTTGCATGTGGTTCCCTCAGGAGAATTCTTGGCACACCCAGGGGGGTGCCTCGGTGGACCACTATACTGCTAGCAGCAGAAATGGTGAGTTTGTAAGTTGCCTGTAGAAAATTCATCTTGTGGCAGGAATGTCTTTGTGGGTGGAATGGCAAAGGTGGTACATTTGGTGACCTGTCATGATTGTCTTAACTGACCTAACAGTCTCCAAGCTACAACATATTATCCTGAAAGTTTCACATACTCCATACAGAAAGCTATCGTTTTCTTTACTGATATCCTATTGCATCAGTGGCATCCACAAACTACACAGAAGACAAAGATTTAAGAACTAGATTGACTTTCAAAATGAACATTAATTATTGTGACTAAATATTGGTCTAAAAAGTGCATGTTAGGTGGCCAGATTTCACTTTATTCATAGAAAGAGATTTCTGAAACAATGCCCCAAGGTTGGATACAAGCTTTGTTTCTTGTGAATATTATGTAATATTCATTTGAAATTTCCCATTGCTACAGATATTCAATTCAGTAAACTCGTTTATTGACCTATAAATTGCTGATGAGTATTCACCTTCTTAAGCCCTTTCCCACCCTTCTTTAGTGAAGGTTGTAATTAGCACTATTTCATCATGTAGTCATAAAAACATAGGGAATTTTCAGCTGCAAATCAGAGCCAGGAGACTTTCAGTAGTAGTAAAAGAAACTGAAGTAAGAACATATAGTAAGGGCAGGTAGAAGAATATTTCAGACCTTAGAAAATCAATTGGGAAATAATGATCATTGATGAACGTATAAAACTTACAGAAAGTCTCATTTATTCATTGTGGGCTTCAATAAAGAGCATACCATTTGTCTGCTACAGTGCTGGAGCAGGATGGATTACCCTACATAGTGAATATTTTGTTTGGTGTTTTATTGATCTGAGGTGGAAATGCAGGTTGTACTGTAGACTATGAACTGGATTCAAAGCCACAAAAATCAGTGAAAAGATTTCTTTTGACTTTGGAGATTTTAAATCAGGCATACATTGCATGATCAATGCAAATTTGTTACCATCCTGGACCAAAGGGAAGAATATACTCTGTCTGGTCCAAATGAGCTGCAGTTACTTCTTAGCATTTTCTTCTGTGAATCTATTGCATAGAAGGAAACTGCTTTCTTTATTTAATAAGTCAACTCAGATAGGAGTTACATACCCACTCTGTGTGTACCCATTGAGGCATATGCATATATATGTCCTCCATCCTTGACTTCCATAGGACTGCCTATGAAATGTGGCCTTTAAAAAATAAAATAAAATAAGGGGGCAGAATATAGATACTAACTGGGAATTTTGTCCATCTTCTTACAACAGCACTTCATAGATATGTATGTAACCCCCAAAACTGCTAGAAATTAAAATGCTAATCTGAATTGTACCTGATGAGTTGTGCCTTGGAGTAGCAGCATTCAATTGAAGAAAAAAACATCCTTTTCAGGAGACCAGGTATCCGATGCCAGGAAAGAGATAAGAGACATCAGAAGGAGTATCCTTTGTCCCTACAGCAGTGGGCAGAAATTTCCTCTTCTGAGTCTCCTCTGTATGTGTTTGAAGAGTCTAAAGATAACTATAAAACCGATCAAGAAATAAAAATAAAAAATGAATACAGTGATCATCTATGTCAAAGTATAGACCATGTCAAATGGATACTGATTGTGAAGCCACAGATTTTAAATTTGTGTACTGTATATCTTTTTGTTCCATTGATAATTTAAGGTAGATATTTTAAGGAAAAAAAAAAAAAGCAGATTTGGAAGTCTGCTGAACTTTGCTTCCAATCGCATCTGATTGGCACTGTTGATTCAAAATTTGCAAATTCTTCTTTACAATGCATGCATAATGGCCATAAGATAGCTCTTTTCCTCTCTCTCTGTTTTTCAATTTTTTTCAAGATACAAGAGATTTCTTTATACCCTACAGGAGCAGGACCAATTTCTTCTGATACATGAGGGAGCACAAAAAATGACAATGAAGCTCAGCACCCAAATGGTACAATTTGGTATAAAATATCAGAAAGATATAGTAGATATATTAAGTTGTGTGCTAGTGACATTTATCACAAAATATCAATATTTCATAAAGACGTTTTGTTCTCTGATTTTGACAGCTGCAATTTGCCTTTAGTTACTCATGATGAAACAGTATGTTAGTTAAAGGTGTCCATATGCATATTTTTAAAAACTCTTTAGACAGGCATTAGAAATAGCTCACTATGCTATTTAGTCTTTGCTGAGAATTGATGAGTCCTGCTGAGCTTTGCTTCAATTTCAATCTGTCAGAACTGACGTGTAATTTGTTTTAAGAAACTGATGAGGTTTCAGAAATGTGCTATTCTTGGAGGGAGTGTAAATTAAAAGATGGTCGATGAACATGTGACTGCTTGTACTTCTGATGTCTAGCTCTGTAGTAGCCAGAAATCTTCTGGGAACAATAGAAAATTGTGAATGGGCTTTTACTGTTTGCTTAATGGCAAGGAAGGAGAGAAGGTTTGGACTACTGTGCAGAAAAGGATGCTTTTGGCAAGACAAGTGGTTATATTTCAGAGCTAGTTTTTGGAGGGTCTCTGGGTGGCACTGGCAAAGCTTTTCACAGGACAATATTTTATATTCTAGTTCTGATGCTGCTCCTCTTTGTAGAAATTCTAAGAAATTAGAAATATTATCAGATTTATACAGAAGACTGTATTTCATCACTTTCTTTTCTCTATACAGTTCTCTGGCTCTCCTGGCTTGTACTAGTGCTTGCTTCCAGTGCACTGACATCAGTCATGTAGATGGAAAGAGGAGCTCTTGGAGTATAAGGTGCTAAACAGCCTCATCAAACAAGAAAACAGTCAAAGTCCCTGGGGTTCAAACATAAGCACTTGCAAATGATATAAAAACAATAGCTGTGACTTTCAATGTAGACTAGTATAGACAGCCTGGCCCTAAATTTACTTCTTCTTTCCTGTCCCTTCACCAATGGCAAATATAGAGATCATTTAATCCTCTTTTATACTATGTATCAGGAAAGTCACTCTTAAATAGTTTTTGAGTATTTTCTCACATCATATATGCTATCTTTACAACTATACCTGCAAACGTATTTTAAAATTTCCCAATACTACAGCACACAATAGATCTCTTGCATTTCAAATCTTGAAACTAGCCAAATCCTACTTCTGCTTGGGATGTTGATTATTGTAAATACCAAAGGACAGTAAATCTACTATGACTTAGCTAACTTTTAGTTATATATCTAATAGTTACAGTCAAGAGAAGTGGGAAAGATTATGTTTGTCACCAGAGATTGTGAATATAGTAAGCTCAAATACAAAGATATCAGCAGTTGCTCAGAATATCTATTCTTGGTGGAATTTGCACCCTGATTTTGGGAATGGGGAAGGAAATAGTCTTTTCCATAGGTTTTCAGGGTGACAGAGTGATTTATCTAGTTTTCTTTCAAAATGCTAGAAGTCTTTGTGATCTTGAACAGTCTCCAAAGAGAGCTAATGAAAAATGTGTACAATGTACAATTGAATGTATAAATGTACAAAATGTACAAATGTACAATTAAAAGCAAGAAAAGCAGGGAAGCAAAGGAAATAAAAATAATATTATTGTATTTTACAATGATGACAATGACTGCCAGATGTGGCTACCGGTCTTTTGAACAGAACCTCTACACTCCCTCCCCACAAATTTATAATATTTTAAATGCAGGCTTTTTATTATGTCTGTGTTTTTTTGTTTGTTTGTTTGTTTGTTTTTGTTTGTTTGTTTTTCCCCTCTCTTCTTATTTTCTTCTCAGCATATAGCAATAGTATCTGTCAGACAACAGGGATACTTGATTCCAACCCATAAAGTCACATCCTGGAAATGGGATTAAATAGACTAGGTAAAACATTAATTTCCATGAGTTTTCTACTTAATTATCATCCCAAACCACTGCAAGATCATCAAGGCATGACGAAGAATATGAAAAAAGTTGTCTTCTGCATTTTACATTCAGCAGCAGCCACATTGCATTTATCTACAGTAAAAATGCTTGTGCATCTGCTTTCTTCCCAAGGCTTCAATGCATACTAATTATTTTCTCATGTATATTAACTAGGATTTTATAACTACTGCTCCTTTGTACACAGTTTCAAATCTTTATCCTATAGCTTTTCTTCTATCTTGCTTGCTTAGAGCTGAAAATATATTTTTATAAAAGTCTGGTGCAAATTCGTTTTTGTACATGGGCAGAATCTTGTAAATTTAATACCACATAATACAAAGACATACTCTTTAGACAAGTTTTATATTTCTTGGGCAAGGTGAAACACTGAAGTGTACTAAGGTGAATTGCCTTATTTTATTATGTTTCATTTGCCTCCAACCACAGGTAGAACATGCCAAATACCTTTATAAGTTTCAACGGCTTCGTTACAAGACTCCACCCACACTGATGATTAACCTTAGCATCACACATAGTTGGTACACATGGCTTACAGACACTACAGGTATTTAAGTAAGAATATACATGTAGCTCTATGATTTGTCTGAGCTGTCCTGGTTCCACTTTCCATCATTCTTTGTATCCATCTTTCTTTACTTCAATTCCTAGCAAAACATATTCTTTTGGGAATTAATTAATCAATCTTTGATATAGCAACCTGATATTTATTAAGAATTTGGTCTTTTTCACATTAAGAATTTTAAGTGAAAAAAATATATTTTGCACAATTGTTCATAGGAAGAGAAGCCTTCCTTCTGCATACAGAACCATCACTGAAGTCAGAAATTTTCTTCCTTCCATTCCCTATTTAGTTAGCACTGGAAATATCCTTTTCTATATTACTGCTCAGCCTAAATAATATGTAATTCAGCATTAGTTTTAATACTGCATCAGGCCATTACACCTTGCTCTGCTTCAGTAATTCACTCCATGGTCCAAGGGTTGCCTTTATTAATAGGTCAGCCAGAGAATGAAGTGTACTGAAGAAGAACTGCAATTAGGATTCCCAATCCCCTCCTAACTGTTCTGACATACTATCTAATCTTCACAAGCCCATAAAACTTTAAGAAGAGAACTACCCACACATTTAACTTTGTAATACAGTCACACCTTAATGATTTTGAGCTTTCTTCCCACACACATATGATTCAGAAATATATTTATTATTATTATTATTATTATTATTATTATTATTATTATTATTATTATTATTATTATTATTATTATTATTATTATTGTGGGAATCAGAGAGTGGGGATAACATATTCTAGGTAAATCACTCAAAATATTTATCACTGCTAGTTAAAAGCTAGAAGCTTATTGTATTATATGTTAAACATTTTTTCACATCTTGTTTAGTGGAAGTGACCTGGCCTTGTGCATGGTGTTATATATTCCTCTGGCTAGGCCAGCCTTATCTCCTTGAAAGGCAGAATCAAAAAACATGGATCTTGCTTTAAAACAGTTACAGTTGGTCCATGGCACCCTTGGTTGGCTGGTTCAGCACAAGATGTTTAAAATGAAGATAGACTCTGGAAATTGACTATATAAAAGTAAGATGTGGGGAAATACCAAATCTGCAGTGTCATATGGCACTTCTTTCACTTGGCTTATTCATTACTTTTATTCCCACTTTCCATTTTCAAAAGACGCACCACAGGATTTTGCAGTCACATACTGCCACCTGTAATAATCTGCCACCAGATTACCTCTATGGGTAATTTGAGAGTTTTGTGAGTTTTTCAGAAATATGTGATGGCATTGCATTCCAGTACCTTTACCTCTGCATTATCTTTGTAAATTTTTTTTCACTTCCTACAGTACAAAGAAGAAAGATCACCTTAAAGCCTTAAAGGTTAGGGTTATCCTAAGATTAAGGAACTGCATGTGAAATTCTAAGGTCTCCCACAGATTTCTTGTGGGATCCTGAAAACAAACCCTGATTCTTTCTGAATCTTTTTTTTTTTTTTTTTTTTTTTTTTTTGTGATGTGATGTGATGACAGTTTGTTACCTTTTTTACTTAATCAGGTTAGGAGCCAACAGTGAGAAGATAAATACCACATGGTCAGACAGTATACTGAAGATGATCCAATAACTTCAGTAGACAGAATCCATTTCTCAGTGTGAAGTTGACATGAATTTTAGAAATCAGTTTTGTAGATGTTTTAGGTGGAGACACCAAGACACACAGGAAATATTGAGGGAAGTGCCTCATATACCTCTTTTCTGTTTGTGTAATTTGAAGGGCTAGAGTCACAGAATTATTCATTACAGAGTTTGGAGTGTATGAATAACAGCTGGTGTAGTCCTTACTTAAAAAAAGGAAATGAGGTCAGCTAGATGTGGTTGCTCAAGGCCTTTCCCAGTTGAGTTCTGAATACCTATGACGATGGAAGTCCCCTTGCTTCTCTGGACCCCTGTTCCAGTGCCTGGCCACCCATTTTCCTTGTATCTAATCAGAATTTTCCATGTTCCAACTTATTCCTGATGCCTCACATCTTTGCCCTGTGTATCTTTGAGAAGATTCTGATTCTGTATCCACTACAACCTGCCAGTATATATACCTATAAACTGCAATATTTTCCTTTACCTATCTCCTCTCAGGGCTAAACAAACCCATCTCTCTCAGGTTGTCCTCATATGCCCAGTGCTCCATCTTGTTGACTACCATGGCTGCTCTGTGCTTGACTTGTTCCAGTATGTCAACATCTTTCTTGTACTGGGGAAGCTAAAACTGCAGAGTGCTCCAAAGGTGGTGCCACAAGAGCCAAAAAGAGGTGAAGAATCACCCTGTTGGATCTGCTGTCTATGCTTCTATTAATAAAGCTCTGGATACTCTTGACCTTTAACGTCACATTGCTAGCTCATGTTGAGTTTGTTCAAAGATCTTTTTTGGCAGAGCTGCTCTCCAACCAGTCATTCCTTATCCAGTAAGTCCATACAGTGAGCTACCCCATTCCAAATACAGGGCTTCCAGTATATTTTGCTGTTCTGTCCAGTTTAATGTCATTTGCAAACTTGTTAAGAGTACTTTCTGTGCCATCATCCAGGTCATTAATAAAGACGGTATTGGTCCCAGTGTTGTTCCCTGAGGAATGCCTCTGGTTAGTAGCTACTAGATGTTCTTTGTGTCTACTAACTCTGGTGATAAACCTTTGAGCCAGAATGGCCAGGCAATTCTCAACACTACTATAAAATGGAAACATTTTGTATCTCCTTAATTTGTCTTTAAGACTGCTGTGGGAAAACACATCAAAGACCTTGCAAAAATCAAGATAAACAACATCTACAACTCTCCTCTCATCCATGTTATCAGTCATCACAAATAGTAGATGACTGGTAGAAGGCAATCAGTTTGCTGAGGCACAATTTGTTCCTGAGAACTCCATCTGGCTGTTCCCAGTCACCTTCTTGATCTTGATGTGCTTGGAAATAAACAAGAAAAGAAAGCTCTACAACTTAATTTTAGTTGTTAGCATTATCTAAATACCTCTGAGAAACTGGTACTGAAGTGACAGAATCTGGCTGAGTGTGAATGGAGCAAATCTACTGAGCTACTTCAGAGTAGAACCATATTTTGCTTTAGCATTATTCAGACTTAGCCAGTGTAAAAACAAACAAACCAAAAAACAAACAACAAAAAACACTTCATAGTTATGTTGTAGTGGAAGTAATCATATACGAAAGATGTAGGTGAAGGATTTGAGAACAACTCCAGTATAAAAAAGTTTAAGGTCCTTACACACAGGTACTATCATCTAACTTATTTAAACAGTTTACTTTAGCTGACATATGATACTTTGAATTCAAAATTTATTATATACATACATCTATTGAGCTTTCTAAAGTGTAGGGATTGTAAATGATTTTGTTTAGAACTCCAGTCCATTCTTAATCTTAACTGCTTTCTTAGGCTGCTATATTTAAATTCATATTCAAGAACCTCATGTTCCTTGTATGAATGTTTCTTTTAATTAAACAGGATAAGTATTTGCTACTGTGAGTGAAATCCTGAACCAAAAAGAAATTGGATAGTGTTATCTCTGAGTGAATGTATTTTGAGATAATTCCAGTTTGCACTGCCTCATTAAAATTGTCTAGCACATATTTAGCTCATAAAAAAAAAAAAAAAAAAAAAAAAAAAAAAAAAAGACCTTATAAGTATTCCATTTAAACCAATTTGCTTGGTAGGGTTTGTTCACCTTGTTTATAATTATCTCTGCCTTTAAAATGTCAGTGTTACAGGGTTAACAACACCCTCTTTCTGTGGCAAGTATATTTGAAGGAGACTGAGCTGAAGGAAAAAAACGTTCCTTTTGCCTTTAGCTTGCTAAGTTGGTACTTACTTTGCTGTCAGCTTCACCTTATCAAGTACTAGGAACACCTTATTAATTCCTTCAGTTTTTGCCCTCCAGTTTTACTCCTGTGTGACTTATGCTAAGGATTGTGTTTATGCTTAATCTATTTCTAAGGCTAATTCACAAGAATTCAGTGGGGTTTATTTCTGTTTATGAAGTTGTTGCCTAGCAAATAACCGTGAACAGTCTCACTGTTCTTTCCTAAGAAAAGCATGTGTAAATATGGGAAAATTGTTTTCCTTTCATTATTGGATATTTTTTTCCTTTATGTATTTTTACTTTGCTACTGTCTCCCTAAGCATCTCTAGATAGAAAATCTTTAATCTTCTGTGAAATCTCTGTTATCACAGAAGCACAGGATCACAGAATTGTAGGGGTTGCAAGGTATCTCAAAAGATTATCGGATCCAACCACCTTGCCAAAGCAGGTTCCTTAGGGCAGGCTCCTTAGTGCAGGCTGCTCAGGTAGGCGTCTAGATGGGCCTTGAATATCTACAGAGAAGGAGACTCCACAGCCTCCATGGGCAGCCTGTTCCAGTGCTCTGTCACCCTCACTGTGAAGTTCTTTCTCATGTTGGTGTGGAACTTCCTGTGCTCCGTCTTGTGGCCATTACCCCTTGTCCTGTCCCTGTAAAACACTGAAAAGAGGTTGGCCAAATCCTTCTGTCTCTCACACCACAGGTATTTATACACTTCGATGAGATTCCCTCTCAGTCTTTTCTCCAGGCTGAACAGACCCAGGTCTTTCAGCATTTCTTCATAGGGAAGATGCTTAAGGCCCCGTATCATCTTTGTGACTCTCCAGAAAAATGTAACATTGTGTATGCAAATGCTCTCAGTAAGGAATTACTGCTTAGTGAAAGGAAATGCAGGCATACAATGTCTATCTTTCAGATGTTTGTTGTTGTGAAACAGAATAATTCAGTTCTAGGTCACCCAGTTATACTAGATCTAAGTCAAGGGTGGTAAAAAATGTTTACAGTTGGATGGCTGTGCAGTGGCTTCAGTAAAATGAATGTATCTACTTTCTACTTTCCAGTGAGCAGGTGTTAAACTATTAAATAGTTACCTCAACTATAGATACTGTCTCCTGGGATTTCCCTCCTTATCTTTAGGTCCACCTAGAGACATCTCAGCAAACAAGCTGAATGGGTAGACCTTGCATCCTTCTTTCAGAGGTACAGCTAGTGTTAGGCTATGTTGGTTGATGTGATTTTCTGCTCCTGTGGGAAAGTAAATTTTCATTATATTTAAGAAATTAATAACAAAGCATCTAGATTCACTTATCTAGGTCTGTTAATACAGGTAGATCCTTTCTGTAGGTACCCATTCCTGAAAATTTGGAATGACTATTTTTCACAAGTGAATCCATGTAAAAAAGCTTAGGAAACCAACTAAAGAAAACCCATTCTTTAAAAAGTGTTAGATGGTTTTCCCTGAAATTCTCCAAATGGCCTCACATTGAGTATCAAAAATAACAACTGCATATCAGGACTAGTCACTGTGAAATCTCTTTGTCTTGATGTAAATTATTTCATAGGAGCAGTGATATATAGAAAGGTTACTGTTGATGTCGTACCCAGGAATAATACTGTCTGGTTTGACAAACCATTGACAATGTTCTAGTTTAGAAACAAAAAGCGTCTTTAATGAATGGAAAATGAGAACACCTGGCCATTATTCATTTGGAGCTTCTCTATGTATAAATCTACATGTTTTACAGAGCTGCCTCAGGAACTACAAGATTTCATTTTTATCTTTATGGCCGCTTGTATAGATCTTCTGGTTATTCTGTGGTGTTTCAACACTGTGAAGTCTGGGACCTTTCTGTAAGATCAGAACCATGACACATATATATCATATGTACATATATAATATGTATTCCTAAATTGATGCTGGCTGTCTGAGCTATCATATTAAAACTGAAAAACAAACAAACAAACAAAAAAACTGTGTAGCTGCTCATGAGATAACTTGATGAAGTTCTCTATGTAAATTTGTTTAAATACTACAGATCGTTTGTTTGTGTTTTTATATCATAGCATAAGTGTAGAGAGAACTTTGCTAACTAGTGTAAATTTCCATTGTGAGCATTTTTATATATCACTTATACTCCTCTCTCACACCCTCCTTGTGCTTTTCTCCACTGTAACACAATCCCTTGAGCCTGTTCTGTGGCATCTCAGTCACAGAAAATATGACTGTGGTCTTCCAAGGCACTCAAGGTGTTTTCATAGTACACACCTCAACATCTCATACTATGTAGTAACAGGGAGTCCTACTTTCATGTCACAGGGCAGACTTGCTTCTGGTTTCCCTAAAGAGAATGATAAAGCTGCTATTGTCTCAGACAAGATCCCTAGGCTGAGCTTTTCTTAAGGGTTCATTTTATTTTTGCTGGTTGTTTTCCCTTAGATACAAGGTTGTAGGAATAAAATTTCATTCTTAAGGCATGTATCTGTCTGTAGAAGTTGAATAATATTTGCTGCAGTCTTTCTACACGCAGAACAAACATTACTTGCCAGAAAGAAATTTGCTTATTTTTTCCTCCTTTTAATCCCAAAACAATGGAGATGACTTTGAAAGTCTTCAGCCAGTAGCCATGGAACATGATACAGTAAACTCAGCTCAGTCCAGCTTTCTTTCTGTCTAACTCTTTTAAAAGACCAGCTCTCATCTGCCTCCCGATTTTCAAAATTGATTTTTTTTTTGTATGCCCTTGTTCAATATAGGCATGAATGTTTTAACTTCTAGGTCATCCTGTAAAATCTTACTTTATGGGTTTTAGGAGAAAATGTGAAAAATTGTTTTCAGAATTATGGGATAGGCTCTTTTGTGGCTTGCCAGATTAAGTTACTTATCCCTACAAAATGTTCTTTAATGATGCTAGTTATGTTTTGCCATAAATTATTATCTCATGCTGAATGATCTTGAAAAGACTATCTTTACTGTTCACATTTTCTGGCTTATGAGTGGTTTGTGATGGCTTCTCAGAAGTGTGTTACCCAGTACAGTTCAGTTAAATGGGAGCCTTACAAATCTCACATAGGGGAATATGTCTGGTACAGTGTAGTCTGGTGCCTTTAGTAGCTAAATGGTATGTCAGCATGTAAAAATCAATTGAAACCAACTGGCATTGTCTGCAAGTTGGAGTAGTCTATAGGTACAAAATGTATTGTAAAATGTAATTCTAGTTGTGTGGTCCTCCATTTGTTGACTTTTTTTTTTTTTCCTTGCTCTGCTGCAGCCATTAAACAAATCAATCCTAATTCACTGTAGCTCTTAAAGGACTTTGTGAAAAGCTTCTTTAAAACTGGTTCATAAAACAAAAGCATATCAACATGATGTTATCCTCCAAGGTAGTGATACTTGTCATGATCACTTAATAGGCAAGTTTTTCTTTTTATTGATGTGTGTATCAAGGAAGATAAAACAAAAAGCAACAAACAACACAGCTCTTTTATGTGGAGATCTTTTTTCACCATTGATTACCTTAATTTGTTTTTATCCAGCAATTCCTGCAAAATTCAGTGTGTTATCAAATTATCAACCTTGTATTTCTGCTATCAGGGCTCAATGGGCTCTTAAGTAGTGAGTTGACCAGTTATGGATACATACCTTATGAACTCTTTTCCCAAGTATTACTTAAAAGTAAATGCAGTGATTTCTCCCTATTGTTCTAATTTTTCTTCAGGCTGTGAAAAGTAGCTCACAAAGTTATTGATTCACTGGTTTAATTAATTCATTTACTGTTGTATGTCATACTTTCTGTTTGGATGGTTCAACTATTCTGTTGCTGTTAGCATATCCTTATAGTGCACAATAATTTAGGGTTTTGGTATTGGTGCTTGAAACAAATTCCACAAGATTCCACTAGACATTTCACTACATGCTACTCCTGCTTATTGGGATCGTACTTTGCCTTTTGCAACACTCCAGACTGGTGAGAACTGATACAGAACCTGTGAAAGGACTTCAATTTTCACAGCACTTTGCTGAACACCTTCTGCAGACAAGTTTTTCTCAAGATCCCTCTCTAAAGGAATGACAGCAATATAAGGGGATATAGCTAAGCTAGCTTTGAACTAGCTTCACAGTTGCTGATAGGTCTATGTTGGTAGATCAAGGAGCACATTTTGCTGTAAAACCCACCTGAGGAGCTGGGTAAATGCTAAGGAGATTAGTTCATGCTGATGTCTGTACTGCTGTGGTTACAATGCCAACAAGTGCCCAAATCATCTAGTTTAAAGTGTGACTACACAATCTCTATTGCTGCAGTAGATGTAAGACTGCCATACCCTACAGCAGTGAGAGAAAACCCACACTATAAACAGAGATAATCACTGGCATGTTCCAGTGTGTTTTACTAATGTGTTTGTTTATCATATGAGAGCTTAGCTCTCTTTTCTCTTATGTCCTTGGTGTACTCCAGCTACTTTGGGTAGTTTTAGGTGTATAATTCACTGTGTTTCAGATACTAACACTTGTAAATAACCCTTGCTGCTACACCCAGAGTCTCTTGAAATGTTAATTTTCTTTCAAAATGAAGGTCCAAATCCCAACATAAATCCACCTCCCAGTAGTGTCTGTCCAGAGTCTTACCAGGCACTTGATTCACATGGAAAGCTGTGGACATCGTGTTAGACTGTAAGCCAAAAAAGTTTTTGATCTCTGCTTGACCTTACTTGAAGTTATGGGCATACAAGTCTTAGGTCTAAAACAAAAATGGCAAGCTTAAAATACAGCGGGAACAACATTGTTACTAATTCCTTGCATAAATCACCTCATGTCTCTCCGCATCTTTTCATTCTCCCTGTCTTTGTCTGTTTTGGCTTTCTAGGTGATAAGCTCTTCAGGAACAAAGATGTGTTGTTTTCCCACTTGTTTGCAAAACATATCACAAGGAAGTGCTCTTCTCAAATAGTGATAGAGGATGTAGGCATATTCCTGTGCTATGTTTTTCTCCTTGTCATTTCTTCCTTGTGAACAGGAGCTTGTTTTGCATGTCTGCAGCTTGTGTGAGAGGCTGGGTGGAAATAACAAGTATCGCTCAGAGCATCAACTGTCATCTGGCTTTTCTGGGTGAATTTTCCATCTGCCTGTCCTGGTCAGTTTGGGATCACAGTGTGTTGGGAGAATCAGTGGAAGTTTCTTGCTCCTAACTGCATAATTTCTGATCATGGACTATTGATCATGGTGAAAAAACAAAGTCATGTGTACACTACAGTCACAACAATTGATATGCTAAAGGTAAGTTTAAATTAATTGGTTAGACACAGTAATAGTTCTAGCTCTGACAACATGAGGTTTATTAATACCTGACAACAATTTTTTGCAATCAGATTTAGAAGCTTGTGCTATATTCCACATTACTGGTCGTAATGGGAGACCAGCAGTAGCCTTAGCTAGCTACAGTCAAGGCTTCAATGGCATTCACAGACATATTCACTGTCTGACAGGATTGAAGATGAGCCTTCAGTCTCTAAGTGCAGGGTAGCTTATTTGCAGGGTAGCTTATTTGCCGGGTAGCTTATTTGCTTATTTGTGGTGTTTCAAAACACTCTGGAATTCTGTAAGCAAATAGTGTTCAGTTTTTTTTGTTTTTTTTTTGGTTTTTTTTTTTTTTTTTTATCAGGATGTAAATTCAACATAAATTGATCATAACAGCTTCTGATATAAGATAGCAGAAACGGGCTTATATACTTAGCCACAGCTAATTGTTGCTTGACTACCAGATCCATGGGACAAGACTACCATAGTGCAAACTTGTGTGAGGCTAGGCAAGTTACTATCCTGTAAAACAAAAGGCTTTTGGAACTCTTATTTAACTGTTCTGTACCTGTGTTGCCTGATTTAAAAATGTAGAACCAATGCCTTGAGCTTTTTTTTTTTTTTTTTCTTTCCTCTTGAACCAAATGATACAACAATGGAAACAGCTTTGCTCATTTTAAAGGAAACTTCATATCAATTCTAAGTCTAGAAGGCCTAGTACTGTATCTGAGCACCTGAGGAAAAAATTGTTGTGGGCACAGAAGGTAAAAGTATGCATGATCCATGGTTAAAAGCCTCCATAATTCTTAACAATAAGACTTTCCAATTTAACATAGAAAAGGAATGACTTGGGTTGAAGTATATGTATCTCACTATGCTGTCTGGTGTTCAAACAGCCTCAGTATTATGGGGGAAAGGAAAGCAAAATTTGAAATAACTTGTCTTTTGGTATTATTCATGTCTCATTTTTGTAGCATACTAAGCATTAAATAGGATATTTCTATCCTGTCCTAACCGTACTTAGAAATTCAAATAAGACATCAAGAAGCTTAAGGGAAGCTAATGTTATTAACCCTTTAATGTTGTTGACCGCAGTATAATACATTTTAGGTTAAAAGGATAAAGTATCTAAAAATATCTTCAAGGAACACTGCCAGTAGTTGTTCATTTGCAGACATTATTTATAGTTTTGGTGGTAAGTGGTAAGTTTCTTTCTAACTCGTTTATCTCAATCAGATGTTTTTCCTGGATACAAAAATAAGCCAGTAGCAATTTTAATTGCTGCAATATTCCTTCTCATAGAAGATGTGCTGAGTCACTGGGGGATAATTCACTTAGGCCTGAAGCCATGCTACAAGACAACTTTTAACTGCTACATATGCTTCACTCTTTTTTGTTCACCTGCCCTGCTTAGGTCATAAGGAGCACAAAACATGAAAACTAGCAAACCAGTCTAGTGGGGGTGAAGGAGAAATGAAAACTTTTCCTCTTATTTACATCTTACTTCTGTCATAACACTGATTTTTTCATGTTATAACATGTCATGTTACCTTATCTACATAAGAGACATAATCAAGAGACATTTCAGTTTTAATTTCCTCCCTTCTTTCCCTTCCCTCCCATCTCCCCCCCCCCCCCCCCCCAATTGCATCTGTTTTTTAAACAATTGCTGTTTCTCTGTTGTTGGTAAAGACTTTGGAAATGTGTGGTGATTTAACCTAGTCAGCAGCTAAACACCACAGAGCTCCCCCTCCCCCTCCCTCTCTGGGATGGGGGAGAAAAGTGGGAAAGTGAAGCCCGTGAGTTGAGATAAAGACAGGTTATTAAGACAGGAAAATAATAATAACAATAATAATAATAACAAGAATGATGATAATAGTACTACGAATAATAATGTGTACAAAACAAGTGATACACAATGCAATTGCTCACCACCCGCTGACCGATGCCCAGCCTAACCCCGAGCAGTCCGGCCCTCTTCCCCCCAGCTAGCCACCCCTATATATTGTTCAGCATGACATCAGATGGTTTGGAATACCCCTTTGGCTAGTTTGGGTCAGCTGTCCTGGGTCTGTCCCCTCCCAGCTCTTGCTGCACTCCCAGCCTGCCCATTGGTAGGACAGAGCAAGGAGCTGAAAAGTCCTTGGCTTGGTGTAAGCACTGCTCTGCAGCAAATTAAAACATCAGTGTGTTACCAGTACTCTTCTCATCCTAAGCCAAAGGTACCTATAGGTAGGTACTAATAAGAAAATTAATTCTGTCCTAACTGAAACCAGGAGAAAATGTTACAGTTGATTTTGGGAACTGGGTTATCACAATTTAGATGTCGATGTGGACATGAATTAGACACAAGTTGCTCTGAAATTATTCTGAGGCAAGGAGCCTGTTTCATGGGTTTGATACATGTGTTGCATTCTGCACCAAAATAGTTCTCATCTACTCTGCTAAGCACACATCTTTTTTCCAGATGTGCCTGTGTAACAATAGTACTAATGTTGTCTGGGTCTAGTGTGAACAGATATTGCAAAGAGAAACAAAAGAACAAGATGCATTATCAAATGACAAAAGACATTGCATTGTTAGTCTGAGACAACCAGCTTCTCCAAGGCAATCAACAACCATTACTTGGTTGAAAGTTTTGAAAGGTTGGACTTGGTGTTTAGGGACATGGTTTAGTTGGTGAAGTTGGTAGTGGGGTGATGGTTGGAGCAGATGATCTTGGTGCGCTTTTCCAGCCCTAATGATTCTATGATTTTATCTGGACCTGCTATTGTTATGTGCCAGGATGTCCCTCTCTAATTCACTGTGTTTTTTGCCTGCCAGAGGTTATCTGCAGGCAAAAAGAGTCGAATTTGTTGCCCTTCATCTCCTTTAGTTCTGGCAGATCACCTGTTTTCTATGGGAATATGGCCATTTCAGGCTGATTTTATCCAAATGGAGAAAAATGGGTCTGTTTGGTTGCTGCAGATGACTGCTGTTTCTCACCCTAAAATGTACAAGGTCAATGCTATGAAGTGGTGGCAGCTCTCACTATAATCTTTCCCCCTTTGCCTTATCTATCATTTGCATGTCCCTGCAAGTCTGCAAGGCTCACTGACTGATGCCAGTTCTTAGACAGCAGATGCTCTTCTGTTTAGCTTGCTGTTAAACAAAATATCAGTTACTGACAACCTAGGCATGTTTGATTCTGTAATTTAAATAGACTAAATATGGCATTAGATCTCACATTTTGGTGTTTTCTTTCAGGAGACTATAAAAAAGTTGGTTCCAATACGCACATAAGTAGGGAAAAAAATAAATAAATAATGAAAAACAGACTGCACTTACTTGTTTTTCCCTCTCTATATCTGTTACTCAGTTGGTTCTATGGCTGCTATTGGTAGGTGATAGAGAATTAGCTAGACTCCATAGTTTATGTGACAGTTTACCATTTGTTTGGTAGCTGTTCACAGTGGCTTCTGTGATGGTAAAAATATTTTGATCTTTCTTTGAGAAGATCAAAAAGTGAGATTGGTGTAGAGAAAAGTGGGACCCTTTCTATGTTTGTTGTTTTTATATGATTTTTTTTGGGGGGGTGAATCAGGTTCTAGTCTTTTCCAGTGTGAAATCATCAGATCTTATAGATGGAAGTCACTTGCATCATCAAAAGATAGTTGCTTTTGAAGTCTTAAGGCTCTGGTAGAAATCAGTTTTCTTTTTTTGTCACTAGGAATATATGTGGAGTTCATGCTGAAGAAAGGAAACTAGCTTTGATATTAACTAATATGACATATAGTAATAATGACATATTAACTAATTTTCTCCAGAAATATGTTCTTCTCATAGTACTTACCATTATTTTTCCACATTTATTGCAAATACCCCTTTGTCTGCAAAATAAAACAGACTCCAGCATTGTACTGATAAAGGTGTAAGTAATTAATTACAAACTTGTTCATTACAGAGCAGAAGTCATATTTTACTAAATTAATTCAGCTTTTAATAAAGAAAAGTTCTCCCAGACTTCATGCAAATGTAGGGTAAATGTTTCTCAGGTGGTCCATTCTCAGCCAATACGTACCAAAGTTGAATTTGATATGCTGTAAGAATTTTTAGCTCCAGAATCTTTTTATAATGATGTCTCAGGAAACAAAAAATGCTATATGGGACTATTTGCTCCAATTAACTGACTTAAATCTATTGCCTTTGGTCTAGGATGCTCATTTTCTCATAATATAAACAAGATCTTATTCCCTCAGCTTGGTCTATAATTTGGCATAGGTGGAAAGCTTTAATTGCTCCATCAATTGTATTGTTTGCTTTAGGCTGACATTAGGTGTTTCTTACCTTTCTCTTAGGTTTTGAAATTTTTAAACTTCTCATTCTTGAAATGATTTAGGAATCTCTATCCAGACGGCTTTTAAGTAAAACTTGCTTCAAAACAATGCAACTGAGAAATAATTATTTTTGTAATAATATTTATTTTGTCTATGCAGCTAGACTCATTTAGCTCAACTGTACATTGTTGAAAGTTTTCTCGTTTTCTATAGATACCTTCAGGGGTTTTTTTTACAGCTTCTTGTGTCTCTTACAAAAGTATAATAATAATACTAATGGTTTCTACAGGAATTTCATTTAAATCTTAGTGGCCTTTGAGTCAATAATCATGTATATTTTCACCAATCTACATAATTCTTTTTTAGCTCTGAAATCAGAGGTTGTCTGAAGTGGAGCAGGAGGTGTATTCACCTGATTAAGCGTATGCCCTAGGCTATTAAATTTGAACAACTATTTTTTTACCAAAGAAGAACTTCAGGTATAATTACCGTGACCTCTGTAGAGAATAAAAAATTAGGAATATTTATGGCTTACCTTAAAACAAAATGGTTACCTTAAAGCATCTATGCTAAATTTAATAAAAGATTGATTAAGAAAAGACTAAGTCAAAAGATTTAACCAAATATTCATTCTATTAGTGATAATAGGAACAATAGAGTGAAGCTGAAGTAAAAAGTATGTAAATCTGGTCCACTGGAAGAAAGAAAAGCCATTTATGCATTTTAAAAAGACAAACTTCATATGCCTTGGTTTTGGTTATGTTCTTTTGAATATTTGATTAATTTGAGGAACCAGTTTGCAAGCATTAGGAGGCCTAAGTCAGTGTGCTTTTTTATTTATTTATTTTATTTATTATTATATTTTTTATTGATATGCAAACTAATAAAAGAATATCTCCACAAATTCTGTCACATGAACTACAGCATGTTCTTTGGTCTTCATTTAAACAGCACTGGTGAACCACTCTTTACCTCAGACAGTCTCTGATTTCAGAGCTACCAAAGCCCTTAGAAAGATTAATGTAAAGATACTTGACCATTTATTCCTGACACATAATTAAAATAATAATAATAATACTGCTAACACACGAGTGAGCTTGTCTTTCTATTTTACTTTAGTACATTCACTTAGGAGAAGTGGATCCTGGACAGAAATCTAAACCTAGCAGTAATCTTGCTTTTAACATATCTTATCCTGCTATGAACTCCCTTTGGTTCTTAGTGTAGGTATGCTGGTGTTCCGCCTGAGATATTATGGAAAAAAATTTTTGTGGCAGTGCTATACTGTGAAAACACAGCTTGTGAGGTTTATACATTTATTTTGGGTAAAGGATTACTTCATACAATAGATCTGATTACACAGTATAACATAATTCCAGAAATGCTGAGGGCCAGATCCATGAGAAGGGAAAAGTAGTGGATCTTACCCATTTATTCCATCTGATAGTTTCACCAAAAGACTCTTGTAGTGACCTTTTCACTACTGGATTAATTTAAGAAAAAATCTTTTTATTGTGCCATTTTTGAATTAGTCTGACACTTGCCTATTTCTGATGAGAAAGACAACCTCTGTTTATGTTCTGCATTATTGTATACCAATAGTTTCTCAAACTGTTGCATGCTTCAAGTTAACCCTTATATCACTATCTTAAGGACCACCTAGAATCCACTCCCCATCCCTCCAAGTGCTAAGCCACCATGACACCAGGGGTGTTAGAAATTATATTTCTTCCATAATTTTGTTGAAGACAGGTCCTGAAGCTGTGAAATAACTGGTAATTTGTAAATGTCTATGAAGTGAAAAATCACTGAACACTGAGAGAATACCTCAAGTGCTCTGCAATTACTGTAGTGCTTTTTATTATCCTCAAAGGCAGATAGAAGAGCTTTTCACCACTATCATAATTTTCACACAGAAAATATTAATAAAAATTGGTTCATAGTTCTGTGTTGTACTAAAATAAGCTATTTCTTCCCTGCACCCCTTTCAAGTAACTACAAGAAAATTTAATATTTTACTCCAACAGTAACTGGAAGGATTTCAAATGGCTTCAGGACTACCTTTATGAAATTCTTGGTTGCCTGAGAGTTTCTGAAATAGCCACTAAATCTGTTATCTGCTACACTAGAGACTATGTTTGTAGGTTTATTTTGTTAGTGGTGGTTTTTTTTTTTTTTTGTTTTTGTTTGTTTGTTTTTCTGAATCACCTAGGACTATTACTACTGGTATAGGTTGATGCTAGTGAAGCTACTCTGTCTCCAGTACTCAAAAGTATTGAGAGACAGCTAAGCAGCAACCTCAAGTCAGCACCGACTGTGAAGACACAAGCATGATATAATAAAAATGTATGAAAGGAACATAAAAAATAAAATAAAATAAAAGTATGTCTTTACTGTAATCAGTCAGCAAAAATCCTGTTTATTTTAGATGTTTACAAGGTAAGTTTTCTTTCTAGTCAAAGCAAAAAAAGGCACTCTGGGTGCCAATTGCTCAATTGCTCTCTTTTAGGCATTTGTTTTGTATCTTAAAAAGTGATGCAACTTGCCTGTGACATCTAAGTGCTGTGAGTCACCCATCACTGCATAGCTTCTATGGCAGCTCTTTAATACTTTAAATATTTTAATTTTTCTTAATATACTTTTTACTTCTTTTGTAAAGAAGAGGAGGAGCCCTGCTCACACCTGTCCGACATATTGCTGCACTAAGCCCAGCAAACAGCTGTAAGAAGGCAAAAAACTTTCGCATGCATGCAATAAATTTGTTTTTCTTGTTCCTTGAAACCTGGAAACAAAGGTTTATCTTTCTTTATTATCTGTGGTGCTCTTTATTTTCTGTTTCTGAATGCACAGGCAGTCATTCTATAACATTAGCAGGTAACTGTCACTGGGCAGAAGCCTTTGGAAAGATGTACATAAGAGGCACAGAAAAGGCCTTGTATGTGTATAAATGTATTGAATCTCTTTATCCACTCTCTGGGGCAGTAAGGAATTTACTTTAATTACAGTAAGCCTGTTGGGTTAAACAATTTTGTGAGGTACTCTGCATAATTTAGAGAATTTCTATGTGACTCATTGGTGCCTTCACAGACGTGAATAAATACATGAAGTGGGGGAGGTGAGCTTTTCTCTGCAGAATACCAAATATTTTTTATTTATTTTTATTTTATGGATGAGTGCACATTTACTTAACTTTCCAGGGTTGTTTGAGGTCTCAAGACATGAGTGTGCAACACAGATTACTCTTTCTGTTTCTTGAGTACCTACTCATGTATGGAAGAAGCTATTTAGGGTTGTTCTGTGAAAAAGTGACAGTATAATTAGTTCACGTGCTTGCTCTTTCTCTTTAAGATAGTCATAAAACCACACAAGAAACATTAGAGAACATCTATGTTCTCTATGGTCTCTCCATGGTCTTTCAGCTGGCTGTAGGAAAGATGGTAAGTAGTTTCATACTACTGAGCTGTGTATATGACATGGTGCAAATTATAATTCTTCACTGCCAGATTATCTTGGACTGGGGATCTGGCAGTTTTTCCTAGAGCAAATAGCATACTGGTCCTATCTTAATTAATTATTTGTAAAGAGAACCCTTGAAGTTGATTGTCTACTATTTCCCCTAATAGAAAATACCTTTAATAAGGTAATATATTATATTACCTTATATACAAGTAAGGTAATATATTAAGGTAATAATATATTAAGGTAATATATTAAGGTAATAATATATTACCTTATTAAATTTATATATTGTATATAAATGCAATACTTGTATTGAATTTAGACATAAACAATAATAATTGTCATTAATTGCAATATCAGTTATGGGTGAAAATTGTGTGTAGTCAGAAAGCTCTGGTCTTGCATGTTGACTTGTTTTGTGTGTACTGTAAGTTCCTCTCTGACTTTTGATGAGAATAGAAACTGACGGATCAGTGATCTTGAAGCTGGGGTTTTAATTATTAACACTGACTTGTTTATTTTTCTCTACCAGAATGCTTTATCTTCTTTTAATACATGAAAAAATAAGGTTATTTCTGCCTTTCTGCCCTGTACAAGAAATGCAAGGAATCCTAACAGTAGCAAGGGATTATAGGATTTTTTTTTCCCCAGTTCATTATTGTAAATTCATTCACAGCCACTACAAGAAGTGATAAATTTTGGCAAAGGAAAACTTTCCTATACAACATTTCCTGTAATGTTCTGGCAGATTATCCTTTAATAAAATAAATAAATAAACATTGAGTCTGCATTAATAGCAGTTATGTTGCACCATGTGGCCATTTCCTTTCTATTACTAACACATGAAGAATATGCTCAAGAATATGAAAGCAACCCACTTAGGATTTCCTTAATGAGAAAAATGGCTTTGGAGACATGCTGGTTGCATAAAGATTGAGCTGATATATCACACCTGAGCTAAAGACTTCTGTTCCATTATTATTTTTTTTTTTTCTCTCCCTTTTTTCCTTTTCTTTTTCTGCTGTTTGCTTTGATGTGTAAGTGTGTGTCTGGCTGCATCTAGTGAACAGAGCTGAGACCTGTTGGTTTACTTTTTCCAAAAACTATTTTTACACATGAGATTTCTTGAAAGGTTCTTTCTATTTATCTGTAGAGTTTTCTTTTTCTCACTTGACATTTCTTCTATCATCTGATAAAATCATCTTACAAGGAAGAAGGAAACTGGTTTTTCTCTCACAATACAGATCAGATATCTGAATTAATAGACTGTGGTGATAATATTTCAATTGAACAGGTCAAAATGGGATGTAGCTGTATTTTTAAGTTTCAAGTACTCATCTGTGAGCCACAAAGCTTATTTTTTTTCTGTTTTCAAGGTGCTTTTAATTGAAGCTGAAATGAAATGTGGCAATACCCTGATTGCAGTTTTTCTTTCAAGGTCATACTGTAATCCTTTCACTTCATTTTCTTTCAGGTCTTATGGAGTTTCTCTCCCTAGGGAAATACAGAGTTATTCATTCACTGAGAGAAACAGGGAGGATGTTGTTTAATATTTTGCTTTGTTTATACAATGCTATTCGAAACATTTCAGGGCTCTGATTAAACTAGAGGAAATGACTTTCTAAGAAGAGTTTCTAAAGGCAATATATTCTGGGATGTGTACTCCAGACTGCCTCTGCCTCCAACAATTTTGTAAATAACTTTAATATGCCTGTGAATGCCATAGCTGCATATCAGCAATGTCTAGGGTATTGTTCACAGGAAGGAAACGGAAGAATGAGAACATTGTGAACATGCTCCTGACAAAAAGAAAATAAGGATATATCCTTTTAATGGACAGCTTCTGTTTCTTCAAGGTAAATAAACAAAAATCAGAAACCTACTATTGTGATATCTAATATTGTAAAATTCCTTTTTAGCTAGAAAAGCATGCTGATGCACGAATCTTGGATCACTCATTTAATCTTATTTAAACAAAAACCATATCTGAAGTTTCTAAATTAATTCCTCTCACACTGAAATGTTAGCACCGTTTAGATTAAGACATATTAAAAAAAATCTATCACTTCATTAAGAAGTTATTAATAGATTTGCTGTAACCAGTCATCTTGGAGAAACACAATGTAAGATCTTATCAGAAGAACGTGAGTATTTTAAAAATAACAGTCAATCTGAAATAAAAGGCACTTGGGATGAAAATGATTAACAATTCAATACAAAGATTGGTAAATTAATTAGGCTGGGTGGGATTATTCCTCTTAATGTTCCTCTCATTGAAAAATAATAATGTCATTGATGTTGCTCTGAGGGTTGCAGCAAGGAAAGCTGCTGCCCTTCCTTTTTTCCAGTTTGTAACAACACGAGTGATGGCAGTAGGCACACCGGCACAGGCATCACAGGAGATCACATCTGGAGCTGTCTTGATTCCCAGGAGGCTGGTGGCACTGCCTTGTTGCCATCAGGTGGGTGACAGACCTTTACATCAGCTTGTCAGCCCTGTGAGTGCTGCAGCATCCTGTGGCAGAGCTGGCCACGATGGCTGGGGCCTACCTGTCTGCAGTGGCCACCCCTTCCCAGCAGCCAGCCAGCTGCAGCACTTGGTGAGTTTCCGTGGAATAGGGAGGGAAAGGGAAAGAATGGAAGAGGCTAAACATATGCAAGACTGCTTATAACCAAGTCCTCACGGTGCAGCAGGGTCTGCCTGTGCTGGCCTTGATTGAGAGTTCCTGCAGTTTGCATCCTCATGGTTTTGCGAGTTTTAAATGCTGCTACACTCCGTTGAATGTTTCATTTCCCAGTTAGCTACCCTAAACAAACTTGTTGAAACAGCAGCTGAAAACTTGTTTGTGTTTCACTAGTGTGGGAGGGAAGAGAGTATTGGTATGAGTGCCAATAACACAAAGAGGATTTCAAGCAACAAAAGCAGTGAAATGTGACACAGAGGTAAACAGCAAAGCCTGAAACGCGAGCAGTAGTGACCTACCTGTTTTTCTCAGAAGCCTTTGAACTGGCCAGGACACTCCAGTCAGAACAAAAATGGATTCAGACCTGTTTGTGTTTGTTTCATTTTCATACTTGGCTTTCTGTTTGAAGTGAGATCTGTATAACAAGCTAAGCTTAAAATTTTTGATTCCACATAATATTTTGTATCAAAATATATAACACAAATGAGGTTGGCATGCACAGGCCAGGTCTCTATTGCATTGTATTCAAAACAAAACTCAGAACTCAGAGACCCTGGGATAGATGCTATGTAAATTACTGAAATTAAATCATCTTCTGGGCATATTCCAGACATTTGACCTGATGAAATGGTTACTGGATACAATCAGAAAGTGAAAGAGAAGGCTGTATAATGAAACCAGCTTTTTAGTTTTAAAGCATAGCTGTTGCCACAGCAACCTCTGTAATGGACATGTTTAATCCCAAAATTCAGCATTTCACCTGAACTGACTTCAACTGTAAGCAGGATGCCAGTGCTTGCAAGCCACCTGTCTGACTGAGAAGAATTCAACCCTCCAAGTTGGGATGAAAAGTATATATGCACATAAACTGGTGATGAAGGTTATTTATTACTTAATGCCATATAATTTTTCTTTTAATATATTTATTGGATTTCATAAGCCTAACAAAGATAAGCACAGCATAAATGATATTCTGAGGAAGATACTGGGCTGAGGCAGACATTTCTGGAGACTGTCAGTTTCTGTAAACCCAAGGTTCATGCACTAGACTGTAGTTTAACATACCTCTATTTACCAGCCTTTCCAGCATGGTGTCACAAGATACCTGATCTATCTTTGAGTCCTGAGTCATATCTGTTTTACTTAAGATTGTTTTTCTGCTCATTTTAATCCTGTCTGCTTCTACCAGAATGGAAAAATGAGATGACACCCTGCCAATTTTTAGAACAAGTAAAAATCATACTGTTTCTGAGTACAGTGTGTCTCACTGTAGGTTCATTATTCTTTCTAGACTCTGATTTAAAGCATAAATCTGATAAGTTTTATATGTCATTAAGCAGACCACGAATTTCATTTCAGAGTCTGAAACATTTTTCTTTTTGATTCCTGCTATGATTTGGAAGGAGCAGGGAAGTTTTAAGGTGGGCAATGCTGTGACTGAATTACTTTATTTACAGTATGTCATACCTCCATTCTTTTAGATGGTACTCTTCATGCTTCAGATAATGCAGAGACAAGATGGATTAACCCCTAACTTTCTTGCAAAGCATCTGCTGCCAGGGAGAGATCAATGAAGCACAGTCATTGTTGAAGACCTTCATTTTGCAGACCCCATGCTGTGAAAGGGATTGAAATAATAAAATGATTTACACTGTGGCTGTTAGGTTGATAAATTAATCTCTTTTCCACTGTGCAGGCTAAGGCTGTAAACGTGCCGTATGCCAGCAGGGTTCACTGAGGAAAGGCACAACTAGTTGATCTTGGTACTTAATGACAACATATGACAAGACCTATCTCAAAATCCTGCCCTGATGGTTGGATCCCAGCTCAACTCCGTGCTTCTAGTACTGGAACCTGGAGGAGCCTCTCTTTTCTCTTACTTTTTTTTTTTTTTTTTCTTTTTTTCTCCTATTTTAACTCAATCCTTAAAAAACAAGCACACAAACCTACCATCAATCAGGACCTACCATCCTGATGGCTGTATGTACTCATTCTTGCTGACACTGAACTCAGGAAAAAGTTCTTCACTGAGAACGTGGTCAGGCACTGGAACAGGCTCCCTGAGGAAGTTCTGATAGCACTGAGCCTGATGGAGTTGAAGAAGCATTTGGACAATGCTCTCTGATATAGGGTCTGATTTTTGGGTGGTCCTGCATGTATCCAGGAGTTGGATCTCGATGATCCTTGTTGCTCCCTTCCAATTCAGAATAGTCTATGACTCTATGATTATATAATTCTGTGATTCTACCACTTCTTATGACTCAGAGTGCAGGGAAATAACTGTAAAGAGACATGTTAACTAAAGAGGTAATGACTTAAAAGGCAATGAGTAAACTGAACTAAACAAAACTTAAGATGTGAGAGTACTAAGGGAAGGGTCTAAAACTGAGCCAGGCACGGAGTTAATGACTAAGTAATGTGGACCATGACAGGCACATTTCCTTTTTCCTTCTTGTTTTTATTTGGTGGAATAGAACTAATCATTCTTGTGAGTTAAATTACCTGTGAAATCAGAGTGCACATGCTATTGCTTGTGGCTCAAACTGGGCTGACTTGGCTGGGAGCAGACTGGGAATGTGAGGTGTGGTGGCACATTAACTCTGTGCCTGACTGCCCTGTTGCCTTGGTGGGCTGGGGTTAATCTCAGTGGTTCTGCCTTGTTCTCCTTTCCTCCTCCTCACTGTAGAGTAGCATGTGTACAACAGGCCACCAGATCAGGAGGAGGAGGTTGATGAGGCCTTCTACAAGCAGCTGGTAGTAGCCTCACTATCACAGGCGCTGGTTCTCATTCAGGACTTCAATTTTCCAGACATCTGTTGGATGGAAGGGAGTGGTTCGGGAGTGCTTGAGTGGGCTCAACGCACACAAATCCATGGGTCCCAATGGGATGCATCCATGTGTGCTAAGGTAGTTGGCAGAGGTGATTGCCAAACTGCTCTCTATCATCTTTGAAAGGTCCTGGAGAACAGGAGAGGTGCCTGAAGATTGGAGGATAGCTAATGTCACTCTGGTCTTCAAGAAGGGCAAGAAGGAGGATCCGGGAAACTACAGGCCAGTCAGTCTCACCTCTGTTCCTGGAAAAGTGTTGGAACAGCTTGTTCTTGATGCCATCTCCAAGCAATTGGAAGAGAAGAAGGTTATGAAGAGTAGTTAGCATGGATTCATCAAGGGGAAGTCATGCTTGAGCAACCTCATTGCCTTCTATGATGACATCACCAGCTGGGTAGATGAGGGGAGAGCAGTGGATGTCATCTACCTTGACTTTGGCAAGGCTTTCAATACTGTCTCCCATGACATCCTGATAGCAAAGCTGAGAAAGTGTGGGATAGAGGAGTGGACAGTAAGGTGGGTTGAGAACTGGCTGACTGGCCGAGCTCAGAGGGTGCTGATCAGTGGAGCAGAGTCCAGCTGCAGACCTGTGACTAGTGGTGTTCTGAGGGGTCGGTGCTGGGTCTGGTCTTGTTCAACATCTTCATTGACGACCTTGATGAGGGAACAGTGTCTGCCCTCAGCAAGTATGCCGATGACACAAAGCTGGGAGGAGTGGCTGACATGCCAGAAGGCTGTGCTGCCATTCAGTGAGACCTGGACAGGCTGGAGAGATGGGCAGGAAGAAACCAAATGAGGTTTAATAAGAGCAAGTGTAGAGTCCTGCACCTGGGAAAGAACAACCGCATGTATCAGTATAGGCTGGGGGATAACCTGCTGGGGAGGAGCTCTGACGAAAAGGACCTGGGGGTCCTGGTGGACGACAGGTTGACCATGAGCCAGCACTGTGCCCTTGTGGCCAAGAGGGCCAATGGGATCCTGGCATGCATTAAATGGAGCGTGGCCAGCAGGTCAAGGGAGGTGATCCTCCCCCTCTACTCTGCCCTGGTCAAGCCTCACCTGGAGTACTGTGTGCAGTTCTGGACTCCCCTGTACAAAAAAGACAGGGATCTCTTGGAAAGAGTGCAGCAGAGGGCTACAAAGATGATACGGGGCCTGGAGCATCTCCCTTATGAAGAAATGCTGAGAGACCTGGGTCTGTTCAGCCTGGAAAAAAGAAGACTGAGAGGGGATCTCATCAAAGTGTATAAATACCTGTGGTGTGGGAGACAGAGGGATTTGGCCAACATCTTTTCAGTGGTTTATGGGGACAGAACAAGGGGTAATGGCCACAAGATGGAGCACAGGAAGTTCCACACCAACATGAGAAAGAACTTCTTCACAGTGAGGGTGACAGAGCACTGGAACAGGCTGCCCATGGAGGTTGTGGAATCTCCTTCCTTGGAGATATTCAAGGCCTGTCTGGACACCTTCCTGGGCAGCCTGCTCTGAGGAACCTGCTTTGGCAGGGTGGTTTGACCTGACGATCTTTCGAGGTTGCTTCCAACCCTTCATCTCTGTGTGTGTCTGTGTGTGTGTGCTGGCCAGAGAGCGTCTTGAGGACTGAACCTCTGCAGGGAGAAGCATAGATGAAATTCCTCCTGGGGAGGCTCCGAGGAACAGTAGTGTGTGTCCAATGTGCTGGCATTCAGGTATAGCAGCTTCAGAGTTCTCTGGTTGGCAGGTCTCCTGAGATGAAAAGTGGCAAGGTTGACCTAGGACATGTTGTCTCAAAAATTATGCTGATGGCCATGCATATGAGCCCTCTCTGATAATGTTAACATCATATTAATGCCTTCTCTAACCTTTCTTTTACAACATTCATTATTGCAGAGAACTGCCAAGAATTGAATCTCCCAGTTATTCTAGTAGCAAATGAAGATGTGATCCCTATCAGAAACAGTGTGACCAGCAGGGCTAGGGAGGTGATCGTCCCCCTGTACTCGGCTCTGGTGAGGCTGCACCTCAAGTACTGTGTTCAGTTTTGGGCCCCTGGCTACAAGAAGGACATCGAGGTGCTTGAGCGGGTCCAGAGAAGGGTGACGAAGCTGGTGAGGGGCCTGGAGAACAAGTCCTACGAGGAGCGGCTGAAGGAGCTGGGCTTGTTCAGCCTGGAGAAGAGGAGGCTCAGGGGCGACCTTATCGCTCTCTACAGATACCTTAAAGGAGGCTGTAGCGAGGTGGGGGTTGGCCTGTTCTCCCACATGCCTGGTGACAGGACGAGGGGGAATGGGCTTAAGTTGCGCCAGGGGAGTTTTAGGTTAGATGTTAGGAAGACCTTCTTTACCGAAAGGGTTGTTAGACACTGGAACAGGCTGCCCAGGTAGGTGGTGGAGTCACCATCCCTGGAAGTCTTTAAAAGACGTTTAGATGTAGAGCTTAGGGATATGGTTTAGTGGGGACTGTTAGTGTTAGGTTAGAGGTTGGACTCGATGATCTTGAGGTCTCTTCCAACCTAGAAATTCTGTGATTCTGTGATTCTGTGATTCTGCCTAAATTAAATGTAATGGAGTTTTCTGTTTAATTACACAACTTTTAATATCCCAGTACCAACCCTTTTCTCAGTTTTCCCACAGGACTCTCTCGGTATTTCTACATCTCTCTTCCTTATAGTACCCCTTCCTTTGCAGATACATTTTCTTAGGTTAATGTTTTAGATCAGAAGATAGAACCAATATTTCGACTTTAATCCAAATATTTATAGTTCCATCTTTTCCTTTCCAACTCTTTTCTAAATGTTATTGAACATTTGAACATTTGTGCTCATGAAATGAACCGATTCATGACTTTCTTTCATTTATCTGGTAAAATCTTATAGTCCCTTTTGGGTTGAATTATTCTATACCCTGGAAGTGATAGCATTGCTTAGGTTGCTTCACAACAGACATTTGCTAATTTTAGGACATGTTAGATAAATTCAAGTTTTTGCATTGATGTACTGCAAAGAAGTTCTGAAGGGTGGTTCTAAATTACACCCACCTTGACAGAAGAAGCAGTAATAAAAGTTGCTCAACAGGTATTAAGAATTCTGATATTATGTGCTTTGGTTGGTTGTATGTCTCAGTTATTGCGAACTTGCTGAAAAATTAGTTCTATGAATATGTAATAAAATAATAAAAGAAAAGAGACAGCTATGGAATTTGTTATAGACATTCTGGCTGATCCAATGACATTCATTAATATAAACATGGGACAAGAAATGTGTATAAAAATATAACCATAAGTATTTTTTGTCAATTGAATTTACTATACCCTCACTATTTCTGGTGCACACTGAAGCCCCCTAATAACATGAAATTATTTTTACATTACTTACTTTTTATTCATTGAACACTTTAAAAATAATCAGGAGACTGCCTTTAAATTTGAAAGCTATTTAAATAGCAAATATGTAGGGCAATATCCCTTTTACTGAATCAGTTCCATTACTTTGCTTAGGCAGCATAAAATAGTCAGCCTATGGCAGCATTTGTCCAACTGGGAATATCCTTGATGAAAGGGAAATTTCAGCTGGCAAGTGTCTTGTTTACCCACCTTCTTTTCTAATCAGTCACACCAGAGCAGTCATAAGAAGCATGGAGGGACAGAAGAGCACAGCTGCACCATGCTCGCTTGCATTTGCTATATGGTACCTTGGGGGGAAAATTTACCAATGAAAGCAGGGAAAAGTGATGATAGTCAGGCCTGAAAAATATCTCTACAGAAGGGTTTGGTTTGTTTTTAATTTTGAAAAGGTACCCTCTGAGAGCACAAGTTCTCCCTGGGCTGGTCTGCAGTTGTTCCTCAGG